TAGGCCAAGGCTGCGTAGCCTGGGCCATCAAATCCTACTCCTTGATCAAGGTCGCTCTCGCTCTGCTAGGCATGACGTGGGGACTTCTCCCTAGGGAATGTCCCCCCCAATGTCAGCCTGCTATCGAGTGTCCCATATGTGGCATACAATCTTCTAACTATGCTCAGCACTACAATCGCCGCCATGGCCAGCGGTCAGGTTGTATCAGGCAGCGCCTGCCTCAAGGGTGGGTCACGGAGCATGGCTTTCTGTACTGTACGTGTGGTGATCTTGTCAGCACGGGGGCCAAGCAACGTCAGTCCCTTGTCCGGCACTGGTATGGCCCTCGACAGGTGCACCACAACGGCCAGGTAATCACGGCGGATACATGCCCTAATCCTGGACGCATTGGACAGGACAGGGAGCTATGGACGGTGCATGCGGGGAAGTACGCAAGCTGCGGAGGCGAGTCACGCTTGCCGCGCGCGGTGGCAACGCCGAGGCCATGACTGAGGTCATTGAGTATTAAAATAGGGGCAGCATGGCTTGCTGATTGTTAAAATGATGATACAGGGGCCGTTCAAATTCGGTCGGCTATCGATCTGGGATGGCAATGCCAAGCCTGTGAGTCTTTAGGCGCATCCATGACCTCAGTGAAGGGAGTATAAGTGGCACACTGTGAGCTAGTAGCGGGTCTTCATATGAGATATTTGGCTGTTGGATTCAAGAGCCCAGAAGAAGAGCTTCTGTTTCTCACTGCATTCGTCCAACTAGGGCCCAATGGTTCGGGCGCTTGTGAGGGAGCAACTGTCGGTGGAGGGCTGCCATGGGGGCGAAGTTCCCCTTTGACTCGGCCGAAGGAGGAAGGTTGTCAGCTTTCGCCTGAGGGATTTGTTCGAGGCCTCTCCCAGTGAGTGGCCCAAGCGCAGAGTTCATCTAAATACATTCATCACTCGTACTATAGCTATACCGTCTCGTCGCCAAGGAATTGGACTCTCTCTACCAGAGTTCCGAACCCACGCCTAGCCAACCAACAATGCAATCTCTATAAACAATGATCAACTCCCTAGTTATTCAAAGAGCTGCAAATAGGGACCATAGCCGGTGCCCCAGGGCGCCTTTTCCGGGTTCTTCACCGGATAGTTGTACAACACGTGGTGATGGTAGGTGCCGGTCACTTTACCGCGCCGCATATCCCCCTCGGATCCGATGTAGAAAATGTTGTTCGAGTCAGGAATGAGTTCCCACCACTGCAGCCGAGGGTCCTCCGAACACGGCTGCAGCGAGAGTATGCCGTTCTTTGTGTCAAAGCCGCCCTCCTTCTGATGGTCCGGGAACTCTGGACCATAAATGTAGCGAGGGCGATTGTCCACGCCACCCACGGTCAAGCACTTGTCTGGGTGCTTCTCACTCCTCACCTGACCGCGCGACAAGTTGTTCGACGACGCCTTGAAGCCCTTCGGTGGCGAGTCACACTGGAAAAACTCGAACCGGTCGTCTGAATTCTCACCATCATGCAGCAGATAGCGGCCATCGGAGCTTTTATGGATAGCCACGCCGGACCGAGACTCAAAGTGCCTCGGACCAGTTGTGAGGATGCTGAGCTTCTTCGGGCCCTGGACGTTGTGGCAGTGCATGTCGGACGCTTGCGTAGGGGCCGCGGCGGCCTGCGTGGCGGCCATGGCAAGTGCAGCGAGAGTAGCAGGAATAGCAAAAGACTTCATCAGGAAGAGTGTGTTGAGACGATGGGAAGTGGGGTGTGTCGATGCGCGCTTTATACGCATTTGCGCCGAGATGCCCCTTGGTGCGGTCACGGTATTGCGACGACAAAATCCGGTGTGGAGGAGAGCTTGATGGCTATCTCGGACTTGCGGCCTCCACGCCATGGCGGCACGTGTGGATCCCCGTACGAAAGTGTGGCGAATATCGGACGTCCGTGACGTTGCCTAGCGATCGGAAAGAAGCTACCTCTATCGTGAATGGGCTGTATGCCTGTCTGGAGATTGGTTCATACTTGTTACCCCTTGCAGACTGAGAGTCAAGCTCTTCAATTCCATGGCTAAATTTTGTTAGAAGCGACCAGCTTGCGAGAATAGGCAAGCTGAGCTTCAACTGCCAGCAACGGAATCTTGGTGGTTAACATTGGCGTTGTATACCAAAATATATGAATAGTAGGAGATGTGTATACTCCCCACATTGTCTTTTCTTTTGGCCACAGACAGCTCCTCGCTTTTGCGACTCTCTTCATTCTCTGTATGTGGGCTACTGCCCCGCTCCGCACCAGTCTAGTATTATCAAAAAGTCTGCCGTCCCAGGCTGCTACCCATGTTTCCTATCCAGGATTTTTGTTCACGTAACGGATACAGTTATGGAACCCTCTGACCCATCTTTTTTCGATATCTCGGTTTCCTGATGCTTCGTCTTTAGACCTGTTTCCTGCTCTGGTTATTTTGGCTCATTTCCCCGACCAAGAAATTGAAACCCAACTACATGAGAGCAAGGCTAGATGCGACATCACTGCGACAGTAATCAACCACTGTTTATGGGACCAGGGCAATCTCTACCTCGATTACTACGGCCCAAAGATCCGACTTTACGACGATCCATATATCGGTTGTCCTGCTGGACGCTCCATTCAGGCGTTCTTCTTGAGATTGAGCACCACATTCAGGCTCGTGCCAGCGGACCAATCTCCATAGGGGGGCCTATCCGAGGGCTGATACTGAGAACATTGCTCCTTAAACTGGTCAATGTCCTTCTTGTCCATTCTGCACGATTTCTTCTTCGGGTCACTTTGGTATTTGCCACTCTTGAGAGCCGAACATGCCTTTTTCGTTGCATCATCGTCCAGTTCTTTCGCACCGGCATCCGGAAGGTTCCCGAACGTTGTATAATAATTGAAACAGTACAATTCATACGGCTCCTTCGGATCCATCTCAATCTTCAGGTCCGTGCCAGCGATCCACTTGGTCGTTTTCACATCTGTAGGGTGGCTCTGGCAGCGCTCCTTAAACCATTTAACGTCGTAATCGGCGACGGAACAGTACTTTTCATTATTCATGTTGTGATACTTGCCACTGTTGAGTGATTTGCAGACATCCTTGGTGACAGTATCGTTAATATGGAACTCGAACAAATCCTTTCCTTGAGCATAGCAGTACATGTTGTGCTTGCTAAGAGTGGGCGAGGCCGAGACAGCGAGGGGGAGGAGTGCCAGAGGAATGAGTTGGAAGAACATGATGGAGTTGCAAAGATTGCGAGGGCGCGCTTTAAGTGCGCGTTGGAATCGGACTAATGTGGCGCGTGCGCCGGAAATCCGTGCCAAGAGAAACTGCCGGACATACAAAGAGCTGAGCCGATTAATAAGCCCACGTGCCATGCAGGGGCTGTCGAGCCATGCGGTCATGGGTATTGACAGCTGAATGGATCGTTCAGAGCAGAACTTTGGGAGAGGCATACTTATCAGGACCATGTCCAATGTAAGGATTACATCCACTTATTAAGGCATTTGTAGGGAAAACTGGTCGTACCATGACGAGTTTCAGCATTGAGCATATTAGATCAAAGGGATCCTAGACCTTAGTACACGAATATCCTTCTTGCACGTTCATCATTTTGATATCCAAATTACTGATACAGTTTGGTAATTGAGAGTATTTTTCTTGAACAAGAGATATGGAATGGGAGAAACGTGGATAACGCTTCTAACTGATATGCGGACTGGGGCATGAAATGCTTTGCTCCTTGACGGAAAGTAAGAGCTTGGACCCTTTCCGTATGTGCTATTTTACACCATGCATTTAAGATCTTCTTGACGCTTGCCTGACAGGATAGGCATATGATCCTCCAAATCGGAAGGAAGTTAAACATAGGCTTCTATTTCAAGTGTCCTTTAAGTCCATTGAGTATCACCATTTGCATTGAATAATTGCTTCTCGTCAGCTACGCCCTCAATGCAGTGGAGTGTCATTAACTCTGTCTACGTTCAACTAAGCAACTATTAATAACGCGTAGAAAACAAGAACTCAAGTATGCACATGACAAAAGCACACCTGCGTATTGCAGAACTGAGTCGTCTTTCCAAAGGCTGATAGGTTCTAATGGTGGGTTTCAACGCCCACCGACAGATCTATCACAGGCTCAAGGTCCGTTCCAGCGTAGAAACCACGTCCCACCTTGTCTACTGCTGCGCAACGATCCGTGAACCACTGCACGTCATAGCTGGCAACCCTGCACGACCGTTTCGTCGGTTCATCTTGGTACTTGCCACTTGAGAGTGTACCGCATACATCCTTCGTCGCCTGGATATCAAGTCTGCTCCTCGCGGCACTGTGTGGGCCTTTTCCCATATCCGAAGGATAGCTAAAGCAGTACAGATCAAACTCAAGTGGAGTCTGAATGGTGGTACCAGCACTAAATTTGGTGCCTTTCGGGGCCTTCTCGTCGACGTGACTTTGGCAGCGCTCCTGGAACCACTTCACATCATAATCCTTGACTCTGCAAATAGTCTCGTCAGCATTGAAAACATAACGGCCACTTGTGAGAGTGTCGCAAATTTGGCCCGTCGCTGTTCCGTCGTTCCTGAACTTGGACAGGTCCGGCTCACGGCGGAAGCAGAACAGGTCGTGGTCTCTCAATGGTTCCGGCCCGGGGGCAGCCAAGACAGCAAGAGGAAGCAATGCCAAGTGGATGAGCTGGGAGAACATGGTGGTCGACAATAGTTACTGAGGGCGAGCTTAAGTACCGTCGTTTTTTGGACCCGTGTGGTTCGAGCGCCGGATTTCCATGTACCAAAAAGCAATCGGACATGCAACGGCTGGAACCGATTAATAAGCTGAACATGCTTCTCAGGGGATATCCACCGGTGGACCAAGCGGTCATGCGCGTTGGCAACGAGAAGCGTACGGGCACGAACATTGGAAAAGCAAAATCTCTCAGACCTTTGGTCAACGAGAATTCGACATGAATCAGAACAGGCAGGCTTTCCTAGCCTGGGCCGGGGCTCATGAGTATAAACGATCCTACTTTTCTACTTTAGGTTTTTTAGCAGGCCGATCTTCATCTGAACGGGGCCCTCGATAGGCCTCCAAGGCAGCCGCTCGACTCTGCTTCAAGTTGACGATGGGCGACCGGTAATCATCCTCTGGCTTCGCCACTTGACTGCGCCGAAAGAGAGCCCCCTTATTCTCGGTAGCGCTCGGGTCCACGAGATACTGGGTCCAGGCACTGGCTGGTGATGGATGAGATAGCGCCGATGATATATATTTTGAATCAGCCTGGCCCTTCTCGTACCGGTCCGAAATTGACTGGGTAGATTCACGTCGAAGCTCAGGCACCCAGGCGCGAACATACGCACAGCGCTCGTCGAAACGATCCGCCTGTCGACCCGGATGAAAAATGCGGAAAAACGGGGCGGCATCGGCACCGGTACCGGCGACCCACTGCCAGTTGCCGGGATTGCTTGCAGGATCCGCATCCACGAGCGTATCCCAAAACCAAGCCTCGCCAAGGCGCCAATGAATCCGCAGGTTCTTCGTCAACACCGAGGCGACAACCATGCGCACCCGATTGTGCATCCATCCAGTCTCCCACAGCTGACGCATTCCCGCATCGACCAACGGAATGCCAGTATGACCCGACTTCCAGCACTCGAACGCAGCCCGTGCCTCGAGCGCGGCGTGCTCGTCACCACGAGAGTGAGTGTCTTCCTGACACGCCTGTTGTACTTGCGGGGCCTTCGCCGGCCATTCCCATGGAAAAGAGTCAAACCGCGGATTGTGATTCCGCTCCGCGAGATCAGGCTCGTGGTATAACAGATGGTAGTTGAATTCGCGCCAGAAGAGCTCACGCTCAAACGTATCGGCGGACGCGACAGCGGCCTTGTTCTGGCCCGACCGAAATTGTGAGCGAGTCTTGCGAGTTTCGTACAGAACGCGATGGGGACTAATTTCGCCGTGGGCGAGGTAGGGCGATAATCTCGACGTCGCCTTTTCATAGGGCAGGTCCCGGTTTGTCTGGTAGTCATGCAGCAGGTCTTCCAAAAAAGTGCGCAGGGCATGCTCCGCCTGCTCAGCGCCGGGCTTCCACGAGAAGTTGCGTGCCCACGCAGGATCAAACGGCTCTGCAGGGCGGTCCCAATCGAGGACTTCGACCGCGTCCGAGTCTCGACAAGCACGGACCAATGCCTCTCCCTCGCCGTCCGCCGAGCTAGCCGCTTGTGGCGGGGGCTCGTCGAGCAGGCGAGGCTGGATCGACATCAGCTTTTTTGAAAAGGGCGTATAGACGCGGTAGTAGCCTCCCTGTCCTGTCTTGACATCCCATGGCTCATGCACTGTGTGCGCCGTATAGGCTTGCAGAGCGATGTCGGCCTGCTCTAGGATTCGTGTGAAGGACGCGTCTTGCTCCGCCGTCGTCCCGCCCCAGCGCCGATTCACATAAACCTTCTCAATGCCCTTTTTCTGTACTAGAATATTGGCTACCGCTGGATAGGATGCCTGGAGACACACCAACGGCACATGGAGACGCTCAAGTTGCGCGCGGAGGAGCGGCAGAGACTTGCGTGTCCACCACGTGAAAGCAGCGCCCGGCCGCCGCTGCGTGGGGTCTTCGACAAAGAGAGCTATAACGCTTCCACCCTGCTGCGATGCCTGTCTCAGGGCATGGTACAGTGCCGGGTTATCGAGGGTGCGCAAGCACGGGCCCAGCACCGTGATGATCGTCATGGCGACCGTGACGGGCATATCTAGAGCCAATAAGTAGATGTGATGACTAAAGGAGCTTGATATCGCGAAGACGCTCGAGCAGGAATTCGTGGGCCGTGAGCGACGTCGAATACCGTGATGGGTTCTCCGGCGTGATGCAGCAGGGAAGCGGGTCTAGCGGCACATCAGGGTTGGGATGGAGAAAGTAGGGGACAGAGAATCTCGGTTTGCCCCTCTTTTCGTTCAGGGGGTTGACGACACGGTGCGTGGTCGACGGATATACGTGGTTGGTGAGTCGCTGCAGCATATCGCCGATGTTGACGACGATCGCATCGCCCTGTGTCGTGATAGGCAGCCAGGCCCCATCACTGAGGACCTCGAGGCCCTCGGCACTTGCACCGACCAGCAGTGTAATCAAGTTGATGTCCTCGTGCGCGCCTGCCCGTACATTCGGGACATCCTCCTCAGCCATAGGCGGGTAGTGAATCGGCCGGAGGATCGAGTTGCCTTGATCGACGATGCGGTCGAAAAATGTCTCGGGCAGCCCGATATAGAGGGCGAGGGCGCGCAAAATGCGCACGCCCAGACTGTCGAGCGCATCAAAGAGCTGGCGCGCCTGCATCTGAAATGCTGGCACTTCGGATGGCCATACATTCGGCGCCATGACGTCGGCATACTTCGAGTCCCGAGGTATATCGCGGCCGACGTGCCAGAACTCTTTAAGGTCAGCCCACTGAGACCCTTTGGCCGTCTCGACCATAAAGGGAGTGTATCCTCGCGCGCCGCCTATGCCAGGTATGTGGTACTTCTGCTTCACAGACGTTGGTAGTGCAAAAAATGCCTGGAACGCCTCGTACGCGGACGTGATTACCTCCGAAGGGATCCCGTGCCCACTCACACAACAGAATCCATACTTCTGAAACGTCTGCCCCATTTCTCGCACAAAAGCGTCCCGCTCGCTATCGTAGCGGCGAATGTCCAGCGTGGGGACGTGGTCCATGGTGGGTCGAGGCAAGAGACGGCTGCGATAACCTCCACATGACGCGCCGCGTGCGCTAGCATGGCCGGAGTCTACGCCGACGCGCAGTGGTGGGCGCGACTACTGACGCACTATTGTGAGACTAGATTCATCAAGAGGGCCCCTCTCCCAAACAAGTCGGCACGATGCTGCCAGGTCCCGGATAGATAAGAGAGATACAGCTCGGCTATACCGATATGCGCAGGTCCAAATCCGACGGATCCGAGTAATGACGTAAGCATCAAATGACTCAAGAAAAAAGTGTAGTCGCGCAGATAGCGTGTCACCTCGATGGAACGCATAGAGAGCCCATCCAGCTCTCTAGACAAGGAGGTGGTGCTGGAGAAGCAGGTTACTCAGACCTGTGAAGAGCCGCCCGATGGCAGCCTGAGGGGCTGGCTCCAGGTGCTCGGTGCTCATCTGCTTGTCTTGAATGGGTGGGGCTATATGACGTCCTTTGGTATCTTCCAGCCCTACTACGTGAATAACCTACAGCACTCCCCCTCAGATATTGCATGGATTGGATCCCTTGAGATCTTTTTCCTCTTTGGCATGTCGATCATCACTGGTCGAGCATCAGATGCAGGGTATGCGCGCCACCTGATCGTATTGGGGGTGTGTCTGCAGATGGTGGGCGTGTTTACAACGTCTGTGTGCAAAGAGTACTGGCAGGTTCTGCTTGCCCAAGGTGTATGCCAGGGTATTGGCAATGGATTTGCGTTTGCGCCGGCCGTCTCAGTCGTGTCATCCTACTTTAAAAAGAACCGGGTGGTGGCAATGTGTTTGATGTCCTGTGGCACATCGACGGGTGGCCTGATCTTTCCCGCTATTGCCGAAACGCTCCTCCCCTCAATTGGCTTCGGGTGGACGGTGCGTGTGATGGGCTTTGTCATGCTTTTTAATGGCGTGGTTGCGATCATCTTGATCCGTCCCTACGTCCCGCCACGGCGTGGGCCTATACTGGAGTTGTCCACATTCAAGGAGCCTACTTTTTCCCTGTTTACACTGGGCTGCTTCTTTGCCTTTTGGGGCAACTTTGTGGCCTTCTTTTTCGTGCGTACCTTTGCGCAGGAAAAGTTCCAGGCCGACGACTCGACGACGTTCAACCTCATGCTTGTAATGAACGGCATTGGCTTCCCCGGTCGCATCATACCCGCTATCATCGCCGACCGCATAGGCCCCATCAACTCGATCATCCCTGTCATGGTGATCTTGGGTATCCTCACGGGCTGCTGGATGGCTGTGAAAAGTATGTCGGGCATGTGGGCGTTTGTCGTGTTCTACGGTTTGTTTTCTGCGGCCATGATGGGCCTGGCGCCCGCCTCTGTGCCGAGCCTATCGCCGCATGTCAGCAAGAATGGCATGCATATAGGCCTCTTCTTCTCTGTCGCTAGTCTTGCGGGACTCAGCGGCACCCCCATTGCGGGCCGCCTCATTACCATCCAAGATGGCAAGTTCACCGGGGCACAGGCGTTTGGATGTGTCTCGTTCCTGGTGGGCGCCGTGTTCGTCATTGCGGCGAGATATATGAAGGGAAAATTCGAGTTGAAACGGTTGTAATGCTATAGGAAATCAGTCACGGTCGCGAATCATATCGGCAGCGAATTCAGCGAGACCGTACAGTGTACTAGACAGGTGCGCCGAAACCTGCACAGGCAGGATCGACGCATCAACAATGCGGACATTGGTCGCGCCATACAGGGAGAAGCGTGGTCCGACGACGCCACCATCGGCATGGGGCATCATCGAGCAGGTGCCGATCGGGTGCGACACCGTGCCAAAGCCGTAGCCTTTGCCTTCCAGACCAAGAATCCACGCGCGCCACGCATCGTAGTTATTCTCATTGTCTGGCACCAGGTCTGTGCCGGGCACATTTTCGCCTTGCTCGAACCCAGGCTGCTTGCTCATGTGGCGGAAGAGCCGACGGTTCGTGCGCATCGAAGCGACCTGGAAATCCATGTCAATGGGCACGGCAAAGTAGTTCGGATCCAGCGTCGGCGGCGCAAAGGCATCCGGCGACGTTACATGCACCGAGCCGCGCGAGAAAGGCAGCAGGAACCACGTGTCGATGCCGTACGAGTTGGCCGGGTAGCCCGTGTCGAAAAAGTGCTCCGTAACTGGCGCACCCTGCTCCAGGAACGAGTGCATCACGTACTTCCAGTGCTGCTGCAGTGTGCTCGCATGCACCACATGGCCCTGCGACTGCAGCTTCTTCGACCACTCGTCCAGGTGCTCGTACATGTACTTCCTCACCTGGGTGGCATTCCGGAACAGCTGGTAGATGTTTGAGTTGGCAATCGTATTCGACGGACCGCCGCCAGTGTAGTTGACATTCGCCTTGAGGCCCATGGTGTTCATCGTCTGCTCTTGCAGATTCTTGCCCACACCCGGCAGGTTGATTACTTGCCGAATGCCCGCCTTCTCTAGGACATTTTTCGCGCCGACACCCGAGCGCTCGAGGATACCGGGCGTGTTCAACGCACCGGCCGCGAGGATCACGTCGCCATTCGCATGGACGACCGTCGGCTTGTCCTCCGCTTTACCCTGCACCTGAACCCCTGTGGCCGTGCGCGGAGTGCCGTCGTTCCACAGCAGGTGAGTGACGCGGTTGCCCAGCAAGATGTGCAGGTTGTCGTGCGTGCCATTCAGGTACATATACGACGCCTGGCGAGTATCTTGCTGGCTGATCGACGTAGGCGTGAAGGCAACACCGGTGTTGTTACCATCGCACTGGTCACGGAGCGTGGGCGCATGGAGAACAGCGTTGACCGCCTCTATAAAGACGCGGGGCGCAGGGCCCGTGAACATGCGCTTGGCGAGGTGGATAGGCGAGAAACCAATGGACAGAGGGCCATTCTTGCCGTGCGCTGAGGGAACATAGTCAGCGCCAGCCTTGCGCTGCGCTGCGTTGGGCGGCACAAACGATTCGGCGCGGTTCATGTACGACTGCAGCGTAGCAAAGTTAAAGCGGTCGTCGCCCACAATGTCACCCAGCAAATCGTACTGAGACTTGGCAGCACGGTTCCATGCGGCGCCATTAATGGCCGTGGATCCGCCCAGCACGCGGCCCCCACGGATCTTGCGCGTGTGGTTGCCAATCACAGCCTGCGGCGTGGTCTTAAAGGCCCAGTCCAGCGGCGTATCATACACGGCGCCGTACTTGGAGACCTTGTAGATGTCGGGATTCTTGCGCTCGTCCGTACCTGGCTCGATCACCAGCACCTTCGTGCCCTTCTCTTCAGCCAGGCGCCGGCTCACGACGAGGCCCGATAGACCTCCACCGACAACGATGTAGTCCCATGCGGTGCCTTGGACTTCGTTCGGATGCCAGTGAAACTGCGCTGCCTCGGCACTATGGAGGGCCAAGAGCACAGCCGCACAGAGGGCAACGATCTGATGCAGGAGACTAGCCATGTGGCGCAACCATAGGGCGGGTCTATGCCTTTATAGACATATCTGCGCTCGTCGGTGTCACGGCGACGGAAGACCGAACCGGAAATGGCACTGCATCCTCCACTCTTAAGCACTTTTTCATTGGAGACATCGCAAACTAAGAGTGAGCCCCATGTGGGACGCAGGAACTCCGAAGTACGAAAGAAGATCGAGGCGGAGTCGAACTGAGGACATAAAAGATACTACGGGCATCCAAGGCGACAGACCAGGGGCTCGTCTCGGCAGCGGGTGATCGTGGAGGTGGCAGATACACAACCAATCACATCCAACGCTGAGGTTTCTCCGGCCCCGCTCGATCACTTGACATGGCTCGAGCCACGCACGGCCCGACCCAACTTCCACCATGTCGTGCCGCCCTATTTCGAATGTTGATATGCCGGACCCTTGGGTTCTCGCAGCGAATGGCCAGTACTACCTGACCTTTACGCTGGGTGACCGCATTGAGATCTGGGCCTCGAACAACATCGAGGACTTCCACCAGCCGCAAAAGAGCCTGGTGTGGCGTCCCGATGGCTCGGGGTGGGCGCCTGGTATCTGGGCGCCGGAGCTGCACCAGCTGAACGGTGCATGGTACATTTACTTCAGTGGTGAGAAGCCGGGCCAGGGCCCCGCGTCGCACCGCACGCTTGTGCTGCGCTCGCAGAACCCAGACCCTATGGACCCGAGCGGCTGGCAGTTCCTGGGCCCCCTCCAGGGTGTGCCGGACCACTGGGCGATTGATGCGACCGTGTTCACGCTGCAGGGTCAGCTGTACTGCTGCTACTCCGGCTGGCCCATCGGTGACAACTCCGACACCGAGCAGGACCTGTTCCTCGTCAAGCTCGCGTCGCCGACGGAGGCGATTCCCGACACGCTGATCACCATCTCGAAGCCGACCGAGCATTGGGAGCGCCCTGACGGCGGCAAGCGCGGCGTGAACGAGGGCCCATCGTTTGTCGAATTCTCCGGCTTCCGCGGTATTGTGTACAGTGCGCATGGCAGCTGGACATGCGACTACAAGCTGGGTCTCCTGGCGCTCGTGGGCAACGACCCACTGAACCCCCAGTCGTGGAAGAAGCGCTCGGCGCCGCTGCTCATGAGCGAGCGCTCCAAGGGCGGCCCCTACGGTCCCGGCCATGCGTCGTTTGTGCCGACGAGCGACGGGCGCGTCCTGTGCATGTTCCACTGCACACCGAAGGTCGACGACGGATGGGACAACCGGAAGGCGCGTGTCATGTGCCTGCAGGCACAGGACTTTGACCTGAATGCGTCGCACTGCTGCTGTGCTACAGGTGAGAGCCCCGGCGAAAAGCATGGGCCCGCCAAGGCATTCGGGAAGGCCATAAACTTTATCAAGAATCTGTAGCTTCTTCACTCCACATGAAGGCCATCCGGTTTCACCAGCCTGGCGATCTCGACGTGATTGTGTGCGACACGGTGCCGGCGCCCGAGTGCGGCCCCGATGACGTGCTCATCAAGCCTGAGATCGCAGGTGTCAACTTTATTGACACCTACTTCCGCTCGGGCCTGTACCCCGCTGAGCTCCCGATGACCCTCGGGCAGGAGTGTGGCGGCCGCGTCGTTGAGGTCGGCGCCCATGTCACGGACCTGGCCGAGGGCGACCGCGTTGTGGCGCTAACGACGGGTTCGTTTGCGGAGCGCATCCTCGTCGAGCGTCGGCGGGTCGTCAAGCTGCCCGTTGAGATCGATACCCGCACCGCCACCGCGGCGCTGACGCAGGGCCTAACGGCGCTGACGCTGGCGCACGCGGCGTACGCGGTCCAGCGGGACGACTGGGTGCTCGTTCATGCGGCGGCCGGTGGCACTGGCCTCCTGCTCGTGCAGATCGCGACGCACCTGGGCGCCAAAGTGATCGGTACTACATCTACGCGGGAGAAGGCTGAGCTGGTCAAGCGCCACGGCGCTGCGCATGTCTTTCTGTACGACGACGACCTTGTGGCGCGTGTGAACGAGGTGACGGGCGGCACAGGCGTGCATGTTGTGTACGACTCGGTCGGCAAGTCGACGTTCGACCGCGACTTTGAGCTGATTGCGCGTCTCGGCACGCTCGTGAGCTTTGGACAGTCGAGTGGCGTGCCAGAGCCCGTGTCCCTGCACCGCCTGTCCTCGAAGAACATCAAGCTCCTGCGCCCAAGTCTCTACAACTACCTGGCGACACAGGCCGAGATGGAGCACTATACGGGCCTCCTACTGGACATGCTGAAGCACGAGACGCTGCATGTGAATGTGTGGCGCGAGTATGTGCTGAGCGCCGAGGGCGTGCAGACGGCGCAGCGTGACCTGCTGAGCCGTCGAACGACGGGCAAGCTGCTTATGCGTGTGCTACCGAGCGTGGAAGATAGCTAGAAGAACGAGCGCCCAAAGGTGCCGCCCTCCATGTTGCATGGCTTGGGCGACAGTTCGAGGATCGAGTAGTGGATCAGATTGAGTGCCTTGAGCGCAGCGGCCTCGTGGATCACGCACGAGATGTTGATCTCGTTCGCGCCCTGACTGATCATCTCAATGTTGACGTTGCCTTCCGCGAGCGTACTGAACATGCGGCCAGCCACACCGACCATGTGCCGCATTTCCTTGCCGACGAGGCTAAGAATCACCATGTTGCGCAGCACGCTCACGGTGCCAATGTGCTCCAGCTCCGCACTGAGCCGCTCGAGCGTGCGCGGCTTGAGCTCGGCCGTCATGGCCATCGACACGTGCACCTCCGACGTCGAAATCAGGTCGACCACGACGCCGTAGCGGTTGAGCGTGCCAAAGATGCGCGCGAAAAAGCCGTGGCTGATGGTTTTGCGGTTGCTGTGCACGTTCAGCACGAGGATGTTGTCCTTGATTGTCACGGCCGTCGGCGCTTTGCGCCGCTCCGCCACGACGTCCGGCGTGCAGGAGCCTGACGGCGGGCCAGGCTGCTCGACATGCCCGTCAACGAAGGGATCGTGCCGGATATCGTCGTCGACGGACACGGACGTGTGGTCAGGGAAGATGACCGTGCCCGAGCCGGTCGGGTTCTCCACGTTTTTGATGCGGATCGGCACCGACTTTTTGATGGCCTGCTCCATCGTGAACGGATGGATGACCTCACTGCCATAGTACGTGAGCTCGGCGGCCTCTTCCGGCGTGATGGACGGGACGAGGCGCGCCGTCGGGACCTTGCGGGGATCCGCAGTAAACACGCCGTCGACCTCCTTCCAGATCTGCAGCTCACTCGCCTTGAGGCCGACGGCACAGAGCGCCGCACACAGGTCCGTGTAGCCACGGCCGACCTGGCTGAGCAGCGAGCCGGGCACATTGCCGAAGTAGCCCGTGACCACCGGCACGCCGCTGCACGCGCGGATCTTGTCGGCGAGCACGACAGAGAGCGCGTCGTAGAACGGCTGCTCCAGATAGTTGCTGCTTTCCCAGGTGTTGGACGGCGGACGCACAATGTCCTCGTCGATCTCGCTCACGACCGATTCGAGCGTGATGAGGTCCGACGCAATGCCGCGGTCCTTCAGCGCGGCACACACGATGCAGCACGCGAGGCGCTCGCCCAGTCCCATAATCACATCGCGCGAGCGCGGCGAGACCTCGTTGAGGATCCTCGCCGCCTGGAGGAACTCGCGCAGGCTATCGCACTCGGCGACAATGTCGCTTTCGAGCTGTGCACGCAGCTCGCTGCTGTTCGGCACGGCCGTCGCGGCCGCGTCGAGGTGGTCCTGCTGGATCTTGTCGACGGTAGCGTGGAACGACGGCGCGCCTTCGATCTGCGACGACGAGAGCGAGCCGCCATGGAACGACGACGACATGGGTGTCGATCCAGTTGACAGCGGCGCACAGGCCGACGACATGGCCTCCTGGCTCGCCTGGAGCAGCAGGTTCGTCGTGCCCAGCGCCTTGGTCTGCCCGGAGCGCGCCGAGCAAACGATCACGACGCGGTTCGTCTGCAGGTACGACGGCGTGATCGAGTCGACGATCGTCGTGAGGAACTTGCCCACGCTCGTTCCACCATACTTCTGCACGACCCACGGCGCGTCCGGGGGCGGCCGCGGCGCCGGAGGGACCATCGTAGTGCGAGTCACGAAGAGGCCGCAGCCGATGGCACGTGATGCGAGCGAAGCGTCGGCGCCGCGTGTGTTGGTCTCGGCGACGAGCGACATGGACCCTACGGATCCCCAGCAGCTGGCATCGCTTGCGTCTCTCTTCCAGCAGACGCTGAATCCAGCGCAGCGAAAGGCAGCTGAGGAGCAGCTGGCGCAGCTGCAAGGGCAGCCGCGCTTTGCGTTCCTGCTGCTTGCGCTCGTGCAGTCCGAGTCGGCGTCGACAGCGATCCGGCTCGCGGCCGCGATCCAGTTTAAAAACCTGTGCAAGATGCGCTGGCACATGGACAGCGAGACGGAGGAGGCATCAGATGCCGTGCTCCCCGAGGAGAAGGCCGCCGTCCGGCAGCAGCTCGTGCCGGTGCTGGTGGCGCTCGCGAGTGGGCCGATGCCGAGCCAGGCCATCCTGTCACAGATGAACGAGAGCATTGCACTGGTGGCCGCGAGCGACTTCCCGGACGTGTGGCCCGAGCTCATTGACGAGCTCGTCGCGCAGCTCAGCACCGAGCACCACCAAGTGCTGCTGTCGGTGTTGGCGACGTCGCATGCCATCTTCCGGCGCTGGCGCAGCCAGTTCCGCTCGGATGCCCTGTACTCCGAGATCAACCTCGTGCTCGGCAAGATGGCGAACCCGCTGCTCGAGCTGCTGCAGCGCATGCACGCGATGCTGCTCGATCCCGCGACGCCCGCGGGCACCATGCCGCCGCTGGCGACGTGCCTGATGCTGCTGCTGCAGCTCTTCTACGACCTGTCGGCCCAGGACCTGCCGCCGCAGTTCGAGGATGCGATCCCTATGCTGTCGCCCATGTTTACGAGTCTCCTCTCGTTCCGGCGCGCCGAGCTCCTGGGCGACGAGGACGACGTGGCCCCGAGCCCGCTCGACAAGATCCGCAGCAGCGTGTGTGAGATCTTTGAGCTGTATGCAAAGCGGTACCTGGACGTTCTGCCGCAGCTGCCGGAGTATGTGCAGGCGGTGTGGGACATGCTTGGCACGTACAGCACGTCAGAGAAGTACGACGTGATTGTGAGCAAGGCGATTGGCTTCCTGTCCGCGGTGGTGCGGATGGGCCACCAGCGCGAGATGTTCGAGGCAGAGGCGACGCTCGAGCAGCTCTGCACGGCGATCGTCCTGCCGAACATGCAGCTGCGGGACGTCGACGAGGAGATCTTCGAGGACAACCCGATGGAGTACATCCGCCGCGACCTGGAGCAGAGCATGGAGGTCGATACGCGCCGGCGCGCAGCGTCCGAGTTTGTGCGGGCGCTCCTGGAGCAGTTCGCCGAGCCGGTCACCGCGCTTGCCCTGCGGCACATCCACGCATACCTCGCCGAGTACCGCGCGAACCCCGCACAGAACTGGAGGCGCAAGGATGCGGCGCTGTACCTGCTCACGTCCATCGCCGCGCAGGGCTCGTCGATGCAGCACGGCGTCTCGGCGACGAACGCGCGCGTGGATGTGGTGCAGTTCTTCTCGGAGCATGTGCTCGAGGACCTGCAGCCGGGCAGCGCGGCGGCGCAGGCGCACCCGATCCTCCAGGTCGACGCGATCAGGTACCTGTACACGTTCCGCAACCAGCTGACGAAGGAGCAGCTGCTGAGCGTGCTGCCCCTGCTGATCCACCACCTGCAGGCGCCGCACTATGTGGCGTGCACCTACGCGGCCATCTCGATCGAGCGCATCCTGTTCCTGCGCACGCAGGGCCAGCGCATGTTCACCCCGGACGACATGGCGCCGATGAGCCAGGGCATCCTGCAGGCGCTCCTCGCCACGGTCGAGCAGCGCGCCACGCCCGAGCAGGTCGCGGAGAACGACCACGTAATGAAATGCGTGATGCGTGTGCTGCTCACGGCGCAGCACACGGTCGAGCCGTACGCGATGGACGTGCTCGCGCACCTGCGCGACATTGTGCAGCTGACTGCGCGCAACCCCAGCAACCCCCGGTTCACGCAGTTCCTCTTCGAGTCCGTGTCGGCGCTCGTGCGCGTCGCCGGCTCGCGCACGGCGGCGCAGATTGCCGCGGCGGAAGAGCACCTGTTCCCCGTGTTCACCGGCCTGCTGCAGGCGGACGTCGCCGAGTACATGCCGTACGTGTTCCAGATCATGGCGCAGCTGCTCGAGGCGCACGCCGCCGTCGACACGGCGCGTGAGCTGCCGGATGCGTACCGCTCGCTGCTGCCGCCGCTGCTCATGCCCGCGCTGTGGGAGTCGCGTGGGCATGTGCCGGCGCTTGTGCGCCTGCTGCGCGCGTACCTCGCGCAGTCGCCCGCGTACCTCGTGCAGCACGGGCACGTCGAGTCGTGCCTCGGCATCTACCAGAAGCTCATCTCGAGCCGGCTGAACGACTCCTACGGCTTCGACCTGCTGCGCGCCCTCCTCGCGCAGCTGCCCGTCGACGTGATGCGGCCGTACATGCAGCCGGTGCTCACGCTCATGCTCGTGCGCCTGCAGTCGAGCAAGACGGAGAAGTTCTCGCAGCAGTTTGCGGCGTTCTTCGGCTTCTTCTGCGGCGTGCAGCAGGACGGGTACCCCGAGCAGGTCGTGCAGGCATTCGAGAGCGTGCAGCCCGGCCTCTTTGTGCAGCTCACACAGAACGTCGTGGCGCCGGACCTCGCGAAGCTGACCGCGAGGCAGCGCTTCCCGACCCTCGCCGGCCTCGTGCGCCTGCTGACCGAGAGCGAGGCGCTCCTCGCCGGCGCACAGACAGCAGCGTGGCCACCGCTCGCTACGGCCACACTCCGTCTCCTCGCGCAGAGTGCGGCCGCGGCCGACGAGGCGGTCGACGAGGAGGCCGAGCTCGACGAGCAGGGCTTCCAGGCCTCATTCTCGCAGCTCGCCGCAGCCGGACCGAGTCGCGAGGCCGGCGCCGCCACATGGGCCGGCCACGACCTCGGCGCGTACCTCGCGCGGCAGCTCGGCGCGGCGAGCGCGCGCCATCCCGGCACCGTGCCCGCGCTCCTCGCGCAGGTGCCGGCCGAGGAGAGCGCGGTGGTGCAGGAGGTGCTGCACAAGTACCAGGTGCCCTTGTCGTAGTCGCATAGCTATGCACAGGTGATCCAGATCTACAGGCCGGAGGGGGGCACACGCACCACCTTGAGGATCGGTGGGCTCTTGTCCATGTCGGCCAACACATACACGGCAAGGCGCGTGAGCGGCGCAATGCGCTGCGCGCTGCCGGACGCCAGCACGAGGCGCGCGCCGTGCGTGGCCCACAGCCGCGCACACGCCGCATCGTCGATGGCCTGCGCCAGCCACGCGATGGGATGCACGCCCGCGCGCCACTGCAGCGTCAGCGCACGGCTCGGCTCGTCCCAGTGCGCCGCGTCGAGGGGCAGGCAGTCGAGGTGCACGCGCTTCTCGACCGCGAGCGACGGCACGCGCACGTCGAACGACGTCGCGTGCACCGCGATCACCAGCGCCTCGCGTGGCGCCAGCGTGTCGACCGACGTGCGCGCGAGCCAGTCGCACAGGTACAGGTGCTGGCTCTGGCTCTCCGCCACACGCGCCGCGCGCAGCTTGACCTGGCACTGCTGCGCCAGCTTCGCGACGGCCTCCGCGTCCTGCTCGCCCAGCACGCCCTGCGTGACGCCGTCCAGCTGCCGATGCACCTGCACGTCCGCAAAGCGCTGCAGGGGCGACGTAAAGAGCGTGTAGAGCGGCTCCGCCAGCGAATAGTGCGAGAACTGCGCCATGTCCACGAGCCCCGGCACGTACAGCTTCGGCGCCGGGAGCGCCTGCGCGAGCAGCGCGGCCGCCGCCGGCCACGCCGCCGCCGGGAGCGTCTGCACCGCGCGCGGCAGCTGCGCCGGNGCCGAGCGCGGGAGCAGCAGGGCGCCGCGCGCCACGCGCTCGGACCGCCAGCGCGCCAGCAGCGCGTGCGCCGCCGGGAGCGCAGCGAGGACGCCCTCGGCAGGCGCGGCGAGCGCCGCGTCCAGCGCATCGGCGTCGACGTCCTCGGCGATCCGCACGAGGCTGCGGCCGATCCACACGCGCGTTACGGCGCCGTGCTCCACGGTGAAGACGACCGACTGCGTGAGCGCCTCGCGCGCGGGGTGCAGCGCCACATGCGCGAGCAGGCTGGGCGGGAACATGTCGTGCAGCTGGTCGACCTGGGCGACCGACGCGCCGCGGCGGCGCGCCTCGCGGTCGAGCGCGGAGCCGGACGGCACAAAGTGCGCAATGTCCGCGGCGTGCACGCCGAGCGTGAGGGTAGCGCCATCGGCGTCCACGGAAAACGCGAGCTCGCGGGGGCCGCGCGCGCGGAGCGTAAACGCAGTGAACGTGCGGCGCGCGCGCTCGGCCGGCGGGATCGTCCATGTGCTGCCCGGCACGCTGTGCAGCGCCGCGTCGCTGAACGGCGTCGTGTGGCTCTGGCACTGCGCGCGCAGCAGCGCCTGCGACTCGGCCGCCAGCGAGCCGATCGGCCCGAGCTGGTCAACGAGCGCGCCGAACGGGTGCAGCGACGAGATCGGCCACCGCTTGATGCACGCGACAAAGAGCGTCCGGCTGTACACCTCCTGCCGCTTCTCGTCCCAAAAGTCCGCGGGCGCCTGGTCCGCGGGAATCGCGACGAGCGGCACGCGCTTGTCCGTAGGACGGAACCACACGATCTTGGGGCGCGGCGCGCCGGCGTCGTCGTCGGGGGGCGCAGCGGAGCCGCTCGCGCTGCGCTCAGCCTGCTGCTTTTCTTTTGTGGCGGCGCTGCTGGGGCGCAGCAGCGCCAGGGTGCCCGGGAAGATCTGGCCGGGCATGCGCTCGACGATCGCCACGACGTGGCCGGCGAGCGCCGGCGGAGAGAGCTCGCTCTCCTCCTCGTCCTCGATCAGCCCGAGCTGCGCGCCCTCGACTTCCATGTCGTCGCGCGCCTTGTCTGGCCGCCGGCTGCTCACGGGCGCGGTGAGCGCCGCGGGCGCATCGGCGCCACTGCTCTCTTCCTTGCGCTTCTTCTTGTCGACCTTTTCGCGCTTGGTCTGCCACACCTCCTGCGGATCGAGCAGCTCGACCGCGACGAGGTCGCCCTCCAGCGCGCGGTTGCGGTCCTTGGAGCCGCTGATGAAGATGTCGTGGCCCAGCACCTCGGTCGAGACCCACGCATCGCTGCGGTTCCGCTTGTTCACGCGGATGACGCCCACGACGAGCTTGCCGGCCAGGAGCAGGAGCGGCAGGCTCGACTGCGGGAGGTAGCTGCCGAACAGGGCGCGGCGCGGCGCACTGCCGCCCGCGCTGGCGGAGCGGCCGTGCGAGGCGGCACGCCCGTGCATCGTCGGGGCCATCTGCTGCCGGCTGCGGTGCAGGGCGGCGAGCTGCGCCTGCGCCTGCGGCAGGCCCGCCTGCAGGTCCTCCTGCGTCGGGACACGCCACTGCGCCGCGGACGTGCTGCTCGAGCGCATGTGCCGCGCGCCGCTGCCACTCGCGCGCTCAGCCGGGGCCTCGGAGAACCCGTCCGCCAGGTCGCCCCACCCGCCGCTGACGCTCAGCGTCGCGAGATTGAGCAGGCCGCCGCCCGCCATGAGAAACTGCGGCGAGAGCTCCGACGACAGCTGGTACGACGCATGCCGCGTGTGCGACGGCTTGCGGTCCGTCTCGCGCAGTGCCTGGGGCGCGCGCCCGCCGTCCGCCGCATGCCGCGGCGGGAACGACAGCGGCGGCACACGCAGGCTCGTCGACTCGCTGCCCGAGACGTGCCGCGGCGAGCTGTGCGACCAGGTCGGTCCGCCGGGCGCCGCGCTGAATCCGGCACGCTCCGCGGAGCGCACGCCCGGCGCGCGCAAGAGCTGCTGCTGCAGCTGCAGCTGCTCCTGCTGCCGCTGCAGCAGCTCGATCTGCTGTTGGATCGCCTGCCGCTGCTGCTCGACGTTGTCGCGCGGTACAGCAGGTGCAGAGCTCGGTACATACGTCGGCTGCGACGAGGGAAAGCGGAAGGACGGGTTCATGGCGCCGGCGCCGCGCGGCGGGAGGCCCAGGGCCGGTGCGCCACCGACGGGGGCGGCGGACGCGTCCCAGGGCCGAGAGGCCGGCAGACCGAGAGAGTCGATCGGAGCCCACGGGCTCGCACTCGGCCACGCCTGCGCAGCGTCCCGCGGCGCTGCGCCCCACGGATCAGGGGGCGGATCGTCCGCGCTGGGATCAAGGCCCAGCTGCTCGAGCTGGGCGCGCAGCAGCTGCTCTTGTGAGAAGCTAATGTGCCGAGCGCGCCGGGCGTCTTCGCTGGACATGCCAGCGTCGGACGCCGGTGCGTGAGCGCCGTCCGGCGGCGCCGTCATGTTCAAGAAGGCGAGGCAGCGTGCCTTCACCGCCCGCCGTCCAGCCAGCCACGATGCGTACGTGCATGTCACGTGGACTAGCAGCCTGCGGCCCTCCACCGCAACGCCACTGGCCGCGCGGGCGTCGTCGGCCGACGCGTCGTGAGGCGGTGCGGTGCGGCGCGGCGCTACGGGACTATGGGAATGCACAGGCGCGTCAGAGCCGCGCGGCCGCGCGCGACCCACTGGGCCCGCTCCTCTGGCGACTGGGTATCTGAGAAGGTGGCGACGCCGCCATCACGCACCCACTGCGTCACGTCGTCGACGTGCAGGAGCGCGTCCAGCACGCCCACGAACTGTAGCAGGTAGTCGTCGAGGTCCTCCTCGGCCACGTCAGACGAAGTGGACGACGTGTACTCACGGTAGCGCTGCGCCTGGGACTTTCCATAGTCAGGAATGCAGATGTGGTTGAGCGGCTGGCACCGCGCTTTCTTCGCGCTGTCGTCCAGCAGGACGGTGTTCCGGGGTCCGAACGGCTCGTCCAGCAGCGGGCCGTACGACGAGTGCGCGCCGTCGTCGCTGAGGCGGAACTGCGTCTCGGCAAACAGCTCGTCAGACACGTTCGCGAACGCTCTGGGCACGTCGCCACCGACCTCCTTGCGCTTTTGGCGTCGCTCGCATGCGCGGCGGTCCTGCCGGAAGTGCAGGAGGCGGTCCTCGGCGCGCGCGCGAGAGAGGAACGAGGGCGCGCTCAGTGGTGTGCTGCGCGTACACAGGTGACGCTCCCACTGGTTCAGCTCGTCCCACGCGATGCTCAGGTCCTTCGTCGTGTCGACCTTCACGCCGAGCAGGCGGGGCACCACGAGCGTCTCGCGAGCCCACACGCGCTGCAGGAGACCGCGCTGCACAGGCTTGGTCATGATCGTCTCGACCATGCGGTTCACATTCTCCTTCGTCGCACTCGACCAGATCACCACTTGCACCGGGGTGGGCGGCGGGCACCAGGCCGCGTGCCCACTGCGCAGCCAGTACTGCGAGCCGAACGGCTGGTGGCTGGGCGCCGCGCTGTCGCGCAGGTCCTCGGGCCATTCCTTCGCGAGCTCGCCATTCTTCATGTCGTAGTAGGGCCCCAGGCAGAACCGCAGGAGCGCCTGCAGATACGGCCGCGGCGTGATAGGCCCGCTGGGCACGCTGCGTCCGTTGCTCTGCTTCTTTCGGTACAGCAGTGTGCCATTCAGGTCCAGCACGAGCAGGAGGGGGCGCGCGGGGGGTGGTGCGTTGCCCATGCCTGCACGCTGCCCTGGCTGACGTCGTACGGGGGGGTAGCACAAAGTCCGCGCTAGGCGCATGCACCGCCGTCGCACCTAAGCCGAGGGCGGAAACTGCCCATTTATCTCCACATGCCAAACACGTCAAATTCAGAGCTAAGAGAGGTATGCGTCCTTCAAGAGGAGAAATGCTACGATCGTCATTTAGGCCTTCCTAGCGGCCTCCAGTGCTTCCTTCATTTCAACCTGGATTTCCTCAATCTCCTCATCGAGGTTCATGAGTTCACCCACGCTCTCGACCTCCTGCGTTTTCCGCAAAATGAGGGGCTTGACTAGCGTCTCAAAGTAGGGGTGGGGCTTGAGCGGCGGGTTGTTGCGGCGGATCATGTCAAAGTACTCGCGGTACACGTTGCCGTCGTAGCGGCCGAACGGCGAGTTGATGACAAAGTCCGAGTATTCGAACGAGTCGATGAGCGGGATCGCAAACGAGCGGACCTCCGCGCACAGTTCAGTCACGCGCACCGTGAGGAAGTCGCACTGCTCCGGCTTGAGCCAGCCCGAGCGGAGCAGGAAGCCGGCTTTCTCTTCCATTTGCCACAGACCATAGAGGAGCGCGACCGTCGCCAGCGTCTTCTTCACGCCGTCGTTCTTCTCGGGCATCGCCTCTACCGCCGCACGGAACTGGCGGAAGATGAAGCCGGTCGTGTGCACACTCGCCGCCACAAAGCGCAGCTGCGAGCACTTCTCCGCGGCCGCCTCGCGCGAGTCGCCCGCCCGCATCAGCCGCTGGAACTCGTCGTAGGCCACCTTGACGAAATGCGCCGAGGCCGTGAGCCAGCCGGCCTCGATGCCCGCGAGCGAGTTGAGCTCCTCGTTCGAGGAGCAGCGGGCACGCAGCGTCGCGTCAATGTCATTCAGGTATGCGAGCGCCTCGCCTTGCTTCTTGCCGTTGCGCGACTCTCCGTAGGCCGACATGAGTGCGCGGCCCAGCTGCAGCGCCAGGATCGTGTTGTCACCCTCCCAGGTGCAGTGCACCGCAAAGTCGTTGTACAACGGCGCCAGACCCGTGTACGACGAGTAGCCGTGACCACCCAGCGACTGGCGACACACCTCAATGGCCGAGAGTGTGCCCCACGTGCAGAACGCCTTCAGACCCGAGCTCGAGGCGTGCGTCGACTTGAGCAGCTCGATCACGTCCATGAGCCTGGGGTCGCCCGGCTCGAGCGCGTCGAGCGCCCTTGTCGTGTCCTCAAGCATATGAGTGAGCTGCTGGCCACAGTACTGGAAGGCAATGGCCTGCGCAAGCAGCGGCATCAGGCGGCGCTGGTGGATAGGGTAGTCGAGCAGCTGCGTCTCGTACTCGCTGTTGGGGTCCGACTTGAACTGGCGGCGCACGGCGGCATAGCGGCCAGCAATGGTGATAGCCTTCTTGCCAATGTTCGACGAGTCGACGGCCATCATCACACGGCCCGTGAGCAGCGCACCGTAGGCGAGCTGCTGCATCGGCGGCTCCGTCACCTGGCCGCTGCGGGTCACCTGGCAGTGGCGCATCAGCATGTGCGCACGCGGCACGCGCACATAGGTGAACTGGATGTAGCCGTTGTCGATGCCATCACGGCCCATCTTCTTACCAATATCGCCGATCGTGACGCCAGGGAGCGTCTCGTACGTGTCAATGTCGCGCAGCTGCACCACGAAGGTCTTGGTGCCGTAATCCTTGCCGTGCACGATCATGCGCGCAAACACCGCACAGTGCGTCGCTGAGTGCGCCGCACCACCGATCCACCACTTGGTCGCGCCCAGGTTCGGCGTGTGAATGATAAACTCGTCCGTGTTCTCGTCAAATGTCGCCGTCGTCTCGATGCCCTGGACGTTACTGCCATGGGCCAGCTCGGTCATACCGAAGCAGCCGTAGAACCGCTTGCATGCGAGCATACCCTGGTTCACCCAGTAGGCAAACTGGCCTGACGTCGAGCCCGAGCGTACACAGTTGCTAAAGAGACCCAAGTGCACACCGAAGCGGGTCCAGAAGCCAGGGTCGGCCACCGAGATGACCGCGAGACGCTGATGGAAGAGGTCCAGGTTCTCGGTCTGCAGCCAGTTGACAATGCTGCCGATCTTGATAAACGTGCGGACGCGGAGTTCGTCCTTCGTCAGGTCGTAAAAGTCGTCGTTGTAGAAGGCCTTGTTGCGTTCCAGCTCGAGCATGACCTTGCGCTTAAAGTCTAGCCGCTCCTGCGAGCCGTGGTTCGCGACTTTCATTGCATCCAGGTCGAAGGGAGGATTAGACCGCTCCTTCGCCAGCGTTTCCATAGGGAGGCTGTCCTTCCATGTCATGGTGAATCAGGTTAGGAAATTACACATGCGGGGTTCGGCCCTATATCTATATTGTCACGGGCCCTTTGCCGGCCGGTCTGGCCTCTCTGCACCGGCCGAGCCCGGCTGGCCTGCAAAGACCGGCGTGGCCGGAAACGCACGTGCTCTCATTGGTCGTCCGCATGCATGGGCCTGGCAGCCACGCCCTCTACCGGACGCGACCCTCTATGCGGGGTAACGACACATTCTGCTTGCGGGGCCCAATCGCAACGCTACGCGACTCCCAAGCTCTTTTTTGCCTGCAGGTGAGTGGCTCGTTACGTACATGATCATAAACCACATAGCTGATAGACACAGCAGGCACAACTTTGGCCAGCGTGGGGCCCAAGCCACGGTAAAAGCCGAGGAACCCCTCCTTGGCATACGTCTGGTACGCGGCGTCCCAGAAGCTCTTGTACACCGTCGGGTGCGCCGGCGTGCCCGACGCCTGCAGACGCGTTCGGATCAAATTCAGCGGATACACAATCGACGCGCCCACGCTCCCAGAGAAACTGCCAAAGGTCAGCAGGGCAAGCACGCCAGGCTCGTCTTTGCCCGTGTACCGGAGGTAAAACAGCTTGGTGCCTTCAAACGTCGACATGTCGATCGCCGCGTACGGGAAGACGCCCAACAAGCCGGCACCCAGGCCACTGTAGTACGCCCGCAGCCCACCACGCGCCCACATCTCGCGCGCCGTCTGGCCCAGGAGCGCCATACCTCGCACATGTCCTGGGTTGGACATGCTCGACATGAGCCGCGTCTTCAGCGTCTCAATCGGGTAGATGGACAACTGCGAAGTGATCCCACCTACACCGCCGCTGATAAAGCGGCTCATACCGCTAATATCCCGCGAATCCGATTTGCCATCAACGTAACGCGCAAAAAAGCGCTTCATGTATTCGTAGGTAAAGAACTTGATCGCCGACTCGGGAATAATTTTCATGCAGTTCAGCCCGTTGCCGAGCCAAAAGCCACGCACACCTCCTTCCTGGTAGATCGCATAGATGCCATGGCCCAGGGCACCCAGGGGCGAGAAACGAGTAACCGGCGTCCCGGCCGCAGGTGACACGGCCTGCGAGGTGATCAGGTACACCTTGACACGATCAAACGGGGCCGTGGCCGTTCGGCTCACAGCGCCGGCGATGCCACCAGCCAGGAGGAACTTGAGCGCCACATCGAGCTTGACCACATCGGACTTCGGCCCCTTGGTGCTGGTATTTTCCGTACGGCCCTCTGGATGCGTCGTCGATTCGTCGGCCAATTCACCGGAGAAGATGGTATCACCGTCGAAATTGACCGACGTCACGCCGCGCGCCGACTTGCCCCAATTGTGCCCCAGCTCGGCAAAAATACCCTCATTGCCAAACAGCCCCACCGCCTTGCGCACCTGGTAAAAGTGGTAAATCTCGGAGATGGTCGGCTTGCGCGGCAGCAGCAGCAGGTAGTCGCGGAACTCGGGGAACGTTACATACAAATCTTTTTCATGCAGCTCCTTGACGTCCTGCACGCCCGACGAGGCCAAACTTGCGATTAGGTCGTCCAGCACAGGCTGCGCCGGGCGAAGCCCACTCTTTTCCAGGGCCGCGCAGATCTCTTGCTCGTCCAACAAGCCGTCCTCTTTGGTATCCATTTCGTTAAAGGCACGATACAACTCGCGCTCCTGGATTTCAGCAAAGGCCACGAATCCTTCCCACTCGATCTGCCGTTGGCGCACGCGCTCCGCCTTGGACTGTTTGTCTTCAGGCGGCCCATGGGTATCGTTTTTGTTCGTGCGGCCTTCCATGGCACGCAGGCCCCACACGCGCGAGCCTTTCCAGCCGGACTCGCGGTGCATCAGTGGCGACTCGTCGCTGTGGCCAATCCAGTGGCGCACGCGCTGAAGGAGCGAGACAGGGGGCGTGCCCACCTCCTCCCGCACCATACACACAAGCCAGTGCCACTGCCTGTGCAGGGAGCTGTGGTTCTCGTCGTGCTGCGAGTGCTTCTCACGATCACGCTTCTCGAGCTCTGCACGGCGCGTGCGGCATTCTGCCAGAAGCTCGGCTGCATAGCGGTTACGACGCACGAGCGACAGCCATTCTCGCACCGGCGTTTGGTGACCCGTGCCATCTGTCGTAGCGGTGAGCGGCGGCGACACCAAACTTCCTACCGCCAAATCACCTCCTGCACCGTATCTGGCTCGACTTGCGCGCGCGCGCCACATTTGCTTCGCTCGTCCGCCTGCCAAGGCCGACGAGCTATCCTGATCGACTAGCAAGTCGAATAGGCCGCGCAGACGCAGCAGGCGCGCCTGCGGTGGTTCTTGCGCGCGGAATTCCTCGTACGACATGTGCCGAATACGCCAGGCAAACGTCCGGCGGCTGGGCATCTCCGACGCAAGTGGCCGCGTCCTCGAACGGAGCGTCTCCTTGGTTAGCTCCTCGGAGGACCGAGGGGACGTTTCCATGTCGAAATCGGCCCTGATCTGATGAGTGAGAGGTGTTATACAAAAGTACGACACGAACGGCTCTCACACGCAAACGGCGCCGCTCTGTTCAGACGAATCGTGTGCCGTGCGAGGCGCCAAGTCGTTGCAACAACCGCGGGCAACTTTTGCGGCTCAGTCCACGGTACGCTTTGTCATCCCTGTCTCGTTCGCTTAGTACACATGACCTCATCATTTCATGCGTCTACTCCACGATGAGCACCTGCTCTTTAAGTTAAGACGTGGGCAGAAACCTGGGCAAAATTTGCGAATCAGGGGTCCGCCCCTGCCCCGGTTCCTATCGCCTGCCCCTCATGCCATTTTGGCCCGCTATCGCGGCGATAGGGATACTGGCCCTCTCCTCGCTGGCATCCAGCTTTGCAATAGGATCGGCACCTCAGGGGTGGACCAAAGTGCGCAGGGCACCCGCCCATGCGCCGGTGACAGTCTATCTCGCTGCTCCGGCGAATCAATCGGACATTGATGCCGCATCCGCTCGCATTAATGCCCCATGCTCGCCCCAGTACGGCCAATATCTCTCCAAGGACGAGGCCATCAGTTTGATCCAAGGCTCCGGTAAGGCCGCCTCTATGGCCCGGCGCTGGCTTGCTGACGCGAACGCCACCCTGGACATCCCTTCCCTCTCCGTCCGAACCAATGTGGCCGAGGCGTCTCGTCTGTTCTCGGCCACCTTTTACGAGTACGAGAATGGCCACGGGGCCCGCCTCGCACATTCGGAAACGTATTCGATGCCCCTGACCCTCCAGCCACATGTGGCCGTTCTAGATACCCATGAGCACAGGCTTATGCGCCAGCATTCGCGGCTCGAGCGCCGCTCCAAGACCCCGCATCTTGAGACACGCAATGCGCCTGCCTCGGGCTGCGCCAGCGACCCTGGGTGTCTTCGTGACCTGTACGGCACGTCGACGTATACCCCCCAAGTTCCGGAGAAAATCCGCGTTGGCACGGCCAACTTTGGCAGCGAAATTGCCGAGGGGTCGGATCTGGTCAAATTCATGCAGCTGTATCGCCCCGATGCGGTCAATGTGACTCTCCCCATTGTGCCCATCGACGACCACGCGAAGCACGCAGTCCCCACGCGAGGCCACGCCGAGGCTACATTGGACATTGAACTATTGGCATCGCAAATCTGGCCGATCCAGCCTGTCTTGTACTTTACCAGCGGCAGGCCGCCTGTTCGAACTGGCATGAACAAGCTTGGGCACCTGAATGAGCCATTCCTGCACCTGCTGGACTACTTGCTGCATCTCGAGGACGATGCCTTGCCGTCGGTTCTTTCCATCTCCTATGGAGACTTTGAGCATACCGTGCCGCGTACGTATGCTGACCGCGTGTGCCAGTACGCTGCAGTGTTGGGCATGCGTGGCGTGACCATCGTGGCAAGCAGCGGGGACGAAGGACTCGGGTCGCTGAGCCCCGACGGCTGCACGATCCGTGGAGACGGAAAGCAGTTCATGCCCATGTTCCCCGCATCGTGCCCTTATGTGACGACGGTCGGTGGCACGGACGGCATGATCGACGAGGCGGTCGGCAGGGTCCCCGACAAGTATGTTAGCGGTGCTGGGTTCTCGAACCTGTTTCGTCGGCCTGCGTGGCAAAATGACGTGGTGCAGCCGTATTTGGACAATGTCGTTCGAGACTCGTTTGCAGGTCTCTTCGATGCGGGAGGTCGTGCGTATCCGGATGTGGCCGTCCGCTCCGTTTCCTTTACTGAGATCCTGCGCGGACAGAATGTAACGAGCTCGGGCACAAGCGGCTCGGCGCCCCTCTTTGCGTCCATTGTGGCGCTGCTCAACGATGCGCGTGTGGCAGGTGGCCAGCCGCTGCTGGGATTTTTGAATCCTTTGCTGTATGGACAATTGGGCGCGGCGCACGGTGGCTTTATCGACGTGGATGATGGCACAACTGCGAGCTGCGGCGAGGCTGGCTTTCCAGCCACCGCTGGCTGGGACGTGGCTACCGGCTATGGCTCGCCCAAGTTCCCCGCGCTGCTGCCCGCCGTGCTCAACTGGACGGCGGCCTGTCCTCCACCGCCGCCGCCGCCGCCGCCGCCGCCCCCCGCCCCTACTCAGTAGCTGTTGTACTTAATTCACGTGATCCGACGCGTGGGAGTGGCATGTTTGCAATTCGAGGCGCGTCGTGCCCGCCCGGCGAGGCGCGGCGAGGCGATCCTTGTCTACTCGCTCTGCGTCACTTTGGAGCTCAGACACACTCGCTATGAGGGAGGTTCTTTCGCTTCACGTTGGTCAAGCTGGTATCCAGATTGGTAATGCCTGTTGGGAGCTCTACCTGCAGGAGCACGGCCTGACGCCTGATGGCCGTGTGACGGAGGAGAGCAAGTCGAAGAGCGACGATGGTTTTTCGACGTTCTTCAGCGAGACGGGCCGAGGCAAGTACGTGCCGCGCTCGATCTACGTGGACCTGGAGCCCAATGTTGTGGACGATGTGCGCAACGGCCCCTACAAGGACCTATTCCACCCCGAGACGCTCGTGACTGGCAAGGAGGATGCGGCGAACAACTATGCGCGTGGCCACTACACTGTCGGCAAGGAGCTGATCGACCAGACGATGGACCGTGTGCGCAAGCTCGCTGATGCCTGCTCGGGTCTGCAGGGCTTCTTTGTGTTCCACTCGTTCGGTGGCGGTACGGGCTCGGGTTTCGGCTCGCTGCTGCTGGAGCGCCTCGCGCAGGACTATGGAAAGAAGGCGAAGCTGGAGTTCTCGGTGTACCCTGCGCCGATGATGAGCAGCTCGGTGGTGGAGCCGTACAACTCGGTGCTGACGACCCACACCACGCTGGAGAACTCGGACTGCTCGTTCATGGTGGACAACGAGGCGATCTACGACATTTGCAAGCGCAACCTGGGCATCAGCGCGCCGAGCTACATGAACCTGAACCGTCTGATTGCGCAGGTTGTTTCGTCGATCACCGCGTCGCTGCGCTTTGACGGTTCGCTGAACGTGGACCTGAACGAATTCCAGACGAACCTGGTGCCCTACCCCCGTATCCACTTCCCGCTCGCGACGTACGCGCCGATCATTTCTGCCGACAAGGCGTTCCACGAACAGAACAGCGTCGCGGAGATGACGACGTCGAGCTTCGAGAAGGGCAACCAGATGGTCAAGTGCGACCCGCGGGACGGCAAGTTCATGGCGTGCTGTCTTCTGTACCGCGGTGATGTGGTGCCGAAGGATGTCAACTCGGCGGTGAGCCTGATCAAGACCAAGCGCACGATCCAGTTTGTCGACTGGTGCCCAACCGGTTTCAAGATCGGCATCTGCAACGAGCCGCCGGCGCTCGTGCCGGGCGGCGACCTGGCCAAGGTGTCGCGCTCGCTGTGTATGCTCGCGAACACTACGGCCATCTCGACGGCTTGGAGCCGCCTGGACCGCAAGTTCGACCTGCTCTACTCGAAGCGCGCATTCGTGCACTGGTACGTCGGCGAAGGTATGGAGGAGGGCGAGTTCAGCGAGGCCCGCGAGGACCTTGCCGCGCTCGAGAAGGACTACGAGGAGGTGGGCATGGAGACGGCTCTGGGCGACGAGGACGGCCTGGACGCCGAGGAGTATTAGATTCATAGGCACGTGTTGATTGGTCCGTTTTTTTCCGATGTGGCCTGGCGCAGCCCGGTGGCACAGGGGCGTGTGTAAACAACCCCAAATTGGACGCATGCCCCTTCGTGACCGACTCCCGTTTAGGAAACCGTTGGGCTCGCCTATCACGCATCGGTCCTGCCATGCCAAATCCTGCACCCTTGCACACGCTGAATGGATCTGGGGTAGACATGAGCAGTTTCCTGAATGAGTCGACGTCTCAGGAACACGGCCCTTATGCATCCATGTACCCCATCCCCGCTGGCGCGCTGCCGCTAGGGCAGCCGTACGAGGCGATCACGTCGCAGGGCGGGCCGTGGGCCTTTCCAATGGCCTCGATGGCGAGCAGCCAGGGCAGCCTGCCCACGGCAGGCGGCCTCATGGCCATGCCGCCCAACTTTGCGCCGGGCTTCCCGGCCCCAGGCAGCAGCGTGCCCACCAGCCACGCGACGGCCGACGCGCAGAACGTGTCGCCGAATGCTCAGACGCCGACGCGCGCGCCAGCCCCGAGTGCCGAGGCCACCTCGACGCCGTCGACTGCGCCACAGCCGCAGGAGAATGAGGCGACGCGCACGAACGCCCGGCGGCGCGCGCCCGCCAAGGGCGAGAAGGACAGCCGGACGGGGCGCCGGAAAATCAAGATCGAGTATATTGACGACGACTCGCGTCGGCACATCACATTTAGCAAGCGCAAGGCCGGCATTATGAAGAAGGCATACGAGCTCGCTACGCTCACCGGCACACAGGTGCTGCTGCTCGTCGTCTCGCAGACGGGACTGGTCTATACGTTCACGACGCCGAAGCTGGAGGCCGTGGTGAAGGAGCCCGAGGGCCGCAACCTGATCCAAGAGTGTCTGAATGCGCCGGATGCATCCGATATGTCGCTGCAGGCGGGCCCGTCGTCGGCGCCGCTGCTGAGAGAGGAGGCGGACGAGGGCGAGGAGGGCGAGGAGGACGAGGACGAGGAGGACGAGGGCCTGGATATGGGCCGCGCCGATGCCGGGCTCTCGTCGCATGCCATGGGCGGGGTGCCGGCGCCGCCCTTCGCGCCTGCGATGGACACGCCGCTCTTCCACCCCGGCTGGGCGCCGGTCGCGAAGGGCAAGCGCGCGGACGACGGGCCAGACAGCCCCGCCCCCATGCCCCACGCTGCGCTCAAGCGCCGGCGCACGCAGCCGAACCTCTCGATGCGCGCCTCTGCGCCCGATGTGACGCAGGGCTTATATCATCCTAATATGGTGCCGGTCCCGCACCTCGATCGCTCAGCGCTGCCCATGTTCTTTGGCTCGCCCCACACGCCCCATGCGCAGCCGCCTGAAAAGCGCGGAGCAAGCCCGTCGAACGGCGCAGACGCCTCGTTTAGGCCCAAGCAGGAGGCACCGCGCTCTAGCTAGGCACCCCGTAGATACCCCCGACTCTTTGGCACGTGATCAGCGGTGGCGCCGCGCCTACCTCCACGCTCCCGACGCGCTGGCGCTCATGGCCGACGTGTGGATCTCACGCAAGCGGTGGACGTGCAAGTACTGCCAAGTCACCATCAATGATGATCCACCTTCACGGCGGCACCACGAGAGTGGTCTGCGGCACAAACACAATGTAGAGCGGGCTCTTCGTGCACTCCACCGCGACACGGACGCACAGCGGCGCGCGGACAACGAGAAGCAACGGACCATGCAGCGGATCGAGCAGGCAGCGGCTCGGCAGCATGCGCGGTATGATGGTGGGCGCGCTGAACGCCCGCTTCCGGTGGCACCGGCGCCCAGCGCTGCACCAAGGCCGGACCCGGTGCGGCGCGCCGCGGCATGGAGACCCTCAGACAAGATGGCCCACTACACGACGGCGGCCTCGCTGGGTCTCCAGGACGAGGCGCCAGCTCCTCCGCCCCGGGCGGCGCCCCAGACCGCCGAGATCGGCGCGTGGGAGACGGTGGTGCCCGCCGCGCCGGCCGCGGAGCCAGCGCCGGCCGCACCGGCGCCCATCCACGAGGAGCGGCAGGCAGCGCGAGACTTTGCACTCGTAGAGCGTTCGCTGGACGACGACGACGAGTCCGATCTCGTGCCGATCGTAACGAAGCGTCAGCGCGCCGGCGACGCGGCCCATCCTATCAAGGCGGAGCCGGCCACAGAGACCAAGGCCGCGCCGGACGCGCCGGCCCCCGAGCCCACATCCAGTCTCTTTCGCAAGCGCAAGCCACGCGGCCCGCCCAAGCCGCACGGCGTGTCGTCCTCAGATCCATAGTGGAGGCCGCGCTATACCCTGACTAATTCGACCCACCACGACGATGGCCTGCGCGGTGCACTACCAGCGGGTGCCAGCGAGTGGCTTTGCGCGCGGGGTGGGCGTGCACCTCACGCCTCCTGACGCGGAAGCGGGCCCATGGACGTGGCCCATGCACCGCGGGCGGCTCGCGTGCCATGTCGTGCTCGCGCGCGACGACCTGCTGACTGTGTGGGAGGCGCGGCACACAGCGGACGGCCTGCGCCTCGTGCAGGTGCGTGCGCACCGTCTGTTTGGCCAAGTGACAGGTATGGTCGTCGTGCGCACGATCGCGTCGCAGGTCGATCGGCGCGAGCGCCTGCTTGTGTCGTTCACGGACGCCAAGCTCGCGCTCCTCGAGTGGGACGACGTGGCGGGCGATGTACAGACGATCTCGATCCACACGTTTGAGCGGGCGCCGCAGCTGGCCGCGGGACTGCCGCCGGCGTTTGTGCCGGCGCTGCGCGCTGACCCTGCGAGCCGCTGCGCAGCGCTCCTGCTCCCTCAGGACGCCGTGGCCGTGCTCCCGCTGTACCAGGACGCCGCCGAGCTGGGCCTCGACGATGCACGCGATCCCGCCCTCGCGACCCACCAGCCGTACGCGCCGTCGTTCGTGCTCGCGCTCGGCGAGGACGTCGACGCCTCGATCCGCAACGTGCGCGACATATGCTTCCTACCCGGCTTCCAGAACCCCACGCTCGCGGTGCTGTACGAGCCTGAGCTTACGTGGACCGGCAGCCTCTCGGACGCGAAGCAGACGCTGCGCGTGTGCCTCATCACGCTCGAGCTGTCGCTCGCCAAGTACACGGTCACGGTGACGAGCGAGCCGCTGCCGTACGACACCCTGGGCGTCGAGGCGTGCCCCGAGGCGCTGGGCGGCGTCCTCCTCGTGACCCCCAGTGCGCTCGCGCACCTCGACCTCACAGGGCGCCTCGTCGGCACCAGCGTGAGCGCATGGTCCGCGGCCACCTCGACATGGTCGCTGCCCCGCGCGGCCGCCCCCGACGGCAGCCTTTTCGAGCTCGACTTGCAAGACTCGCGCCTCGTGTTTGTCGAGTCGACGCGCGCGCTCCTCTTCCTGCACAGCGGCGACGTGTTTGCGCTCCAGTGCACGCTCGAGGGCCGCTCGCTGACGACCCTCTCGCTCGCGCCTGTCGACGCGATGCGCGACGCCGGCGCCGCGTGCGTCGATCGCCTGCCGGGCGGCGCGATCCTCTGTGCGTCGACGCTCCAGGACACGTGTCTGTACGCCGCGCCCGTCGCCAGCGCCGCGCCCATCGACGCCGCGCCCTCCGCGCCGACCATGGCCGTCGACGACGAAGACGTGGTGCTGTACGGCGAGTCACTCGCGACGCCCGCGGCGCCGGCCGCCGCGCCCACTGCACACGCGCGCCTCGCATTGCGCGTGCTCGACACGCTCCCTACACTCGCGCCAGTGCATGGCCTGACGATCGGCACGCTGCGCAATGTGCACGGGCACCTCGCGCCCCGCACCGTCGTCGCGGGAGAGCGCCAGCTGCTCACGCTCGAATCGCGCCTCCGCTGCTCGGCACGCGCGCCCATCGCGCCCGCGCAGTACGTGTGGGGAGCACACACCACCCGCACATCCATGCTGCTCTTCGCGGCGTGGGGCGAAGAGTGCCTCGTGTACGAGCTGCAGCGCGACGCGCCGCCCCGCTTCGTGCAGCAGTACACCGAGCGCACCCTGGCCTGCGGCACGACCCTCTCGGGCGTCGTGCGTGTGACGCCACACGAGGCGCGCTGGCTCCACGCGGACGGCTCCGCCTCGAGTGTGCCGCCCGTGCGCCCCGCCGCGCCGATTCGGCACGCGTGCGTGGACGGCGCGTATGTGGTGCTGGTCCTCGACACGGGGAGCGTGCAGGTGTGGCACGCGCCCGCAGCCGGCGTGGCGTGGACGTGCCTCGCCGAGCTGCCCGGCGCGTACGCGGACCTGTGCCTCGGCCTGGGCCTCGGCGCGGAGGCCCAGCTCGCGGTGCTGAGCGCCGAGGGGCACCTCGCGCTGCACACGCTCCCTTCCATGGAGCGCACGTGGTCGTGCACGTCGCTCGGCGCCATGCCGCGGTGCGTGGACGAGACGCCGGCCGACGAGGTCGATGAGCTGGACGTGCAGCATATCAAGCTGTGCGTGCTGGGCGACGTGCCGGCAATGCTTGTGCAGTATACCAACGGGCAGCTGGCCGTGTACGAGGCGCGCATGCACGCGGCGCGTCTGCGCTTTGTGCTCGCCGAAGCTTGCATGCTGGCCGCCGCGAGTGACGCCGTGGTCCCCCTGCAGCTGCACGGCATGCCGTGCGCGGCTGTGACGGGCGCCCACTCGCTCGTCGTCGTCAAGACGCGCAAGGCCGCGCTGCAGTGCCTCGAGACGGACCTGCCGCTCCTCTCGCTGTGTGCGCACCCGGACGAGGGCGTGTGTGTGTGTGTGCACGACGGCGATGCGTGCGAGCTCGCATGGGAGGCGTGCGAGCTCGACAGTCTCGTGCCGTACACGCGGTGGCGCACCGGGCGGAGCTACACGCATGTCGTCGCGCACGACGAGACGGGGTGCCTCGTGGCGGCGTCCGAGCAGCCGGCCGCCTTTGTGCTGTACGACGACGAGGAGCGGCCGGTGCGCGATCCGGCGCAGGATCCGACGCCGACGTACACGGTGCGCGGCGCGCTCGAGCTCTTCGCGCGCGTCGGCGAGCCGCCCGTGCACGGCTTCGAGTTCGAGGCGGGCGAGCGCGTCACGGCGCTGTGCGCTGCGCACCTCGATACGCTCGACCGCGGCTCGGGGCGCCGCGCGTACATCGCGGCTGGCACGACGATGGCGTTCGGCGAGGACCGCACGGCGCGCGGCCACATGTATGTGTGGGAGGTGACCGAGAGCGTCCCGGCGGCCGGCGCGGCGCCTGGCGACGCGATGCGCCTGCGCCTGCTGTGCCACGAGGAGATGCGCGCGCCCGTCACGGCGCTGTGCGATATGAGCGGCTTCCTCGTCGCGGCCGTGGGCGGCCGGCTGCTCGTGCGCTCGCTCGAGTTCAGCGAGTGGCTCGTCACGGTGGCGTTCCTCGACACGGGCGTGTATACCACCTCGCTGCAGCGCGTGAAAAACTTTGTGCTGCTGACCGACTACGAGCGGAGTGCGTACTGGATCGCCGTGCAGTCGGATCCGATCAAGCTCGTGCTCCTGGGGCGCGACTACGGACAGGCGTGCGCCCTGCAGGGCGGCCTGCTCATCGACCACGCGAAGCTCGCGCTCGTGACGTGCGATCCGCGCGGCGTGCTGCGCCTCCTCGACTACCAGCCGTCGAACCCGACGAGCCTGGGCGGGCAGCGCCTCCTCGTGCGCTGCGAGTACCGCGCGAGTGGCGACGTGGTCCAGGCGCTCGTCGTCGGCGGCGCACGCACGGCCAATGACGAGTGCTTCACGTCCGAGGTGCTCCTCCTGAAGCGCAACGGCGCGCTGGACGTGCTGGTGCCTGTCACGGACAAGGTGTTCCCTACGCTCCAGCTCTTCCAGACCCAGCTCGTGCGCGCCGTGCCGCACACCGCCGCGCTCAACCCCCGCGCATTCCGCGCGGTGTTCCACCCGCGCTCGGCGCGCCCGCTCGCGAAGGGCGTGCTGGACGGCGCCCTGCTGCACGCCGCCGAGCGCATGCCGCGGCCCCGTCTCGAGGGGCTCGTGCGTGAGCTGCGCCCACGCACCGGCGGCGTCGCCGCCGACGACTTGCTGCGGTGTCTCGTGCACCTACAGCCACACTGGTAGCTATGTCGACGTCGTAGGGCTAACTGCTATGGCCCATTTTTAGGCACGGGCGCCACCGGCCGCCTGCGCCGCCGCCGCGTTCGGCTTGCGGTTGTCGCGGTTGAAGCGCAGGCGCGGGGGCGCGCGGTTGCGGCGACCCTCGACCGAGCGCACACGCACGATCTTGGCGTGGATAGCGCACGAAACGCAGTACGCCACCTTGATGTAGAGCTTCGGCAGCACGTACTCGTCGTACACACTGGCCTCGCTCAGGTCACGCACCGCCGCAGCCTCGACGATGTTGCGCACGGTGAAGCGCTTGATGGCCTTGTCCTTGGGGACGGCACGGGCGCAGTTCGCGCAGCGCACAAAGGGGACGTGGCCACGTCCGTGCTTGTTGCGTCTGGTGTGAGCCGCTGGGCAACGTACCCTCCATTCCTTCTCTTCTTCGTCATCTTGCCAAGTGACGGTGTGGAAGAAACGGAAGCGGCGCCGCTCGCGCTGCTAAGACCCTGCGCTCACGTGTACATCACGTGTATATAGTTTTGAAAGCGCCGCGTGGCACGCACGCGGCGCCTCCACCTACGCGCCGCGTCGCGCCGCTACGCCCAGCCCGTGCTCCGATGGCGTTCGCGCTGCCGCGCAAGTCGCGGGGGGATCGTGCCATGCCCTCGCCGGGGCCGAGCACCCTCGACCGCGCGCACGAGCTAAAGTCGGTCCTGGACGCGTCGAGCTACCGGCCGTCCCAGCCCGTGCCCTCGTCGACACCACACGTGGGGCGCCGGCCCCAGGCGTTTGCGCAGGACGTCTCGACCTCCCTCACGCCGTCGACGCCCCGGCGCGCCCTCCGCCCCTACGGCGAATTCCCCGCGCCAAACTGGTCGGCGAGCCGCCAGAGCGCCTCGTCCACAGGGGCAACGACGCCCGTGCGCTCGCGCCGGGCGCCCGCGCCCATGACCATCCTCGACGACGACGACGCGGACCGCGATGCACCGACCGCCTCGTTTGCGCGCGACTATGTCGAGGCGCCCTCTTCACGCCAGCCATTCGCACCGACGAGGCCGCCGGCCGCCGCACGCGCTGCCTCCCCGCCCAAGCCGATGCTCGCCCAGGCGCCGCTCTCGCCCGTGAGCTCTACCGACGACCCGCTGCTCTTGAACGAGCCGGCGCGCCTGGACCTGTCGATGCAGGCCGCGCAGGGCGACGCAAGCCTGCTCGCCATGGTGCGCCGCTTTGAACGGGAAGACTTGGGCTTGACGTCCACCACAGCGACGCCACGCAAGCGGCCCCTCTCGTCGTGGCGCGACGATACGCCGCGCCGCACGCGGCCTTCGTCCACCCTGACACCGCACCGCACCGATGCACGCACACGCACTCGTCGGCCCGCGGATGGCGCATCGACACCGAGCCTCTACGATCGGTCGCTGGGCGTCTCGGAGCGCCTTGCGCGGCTGCGCTCTCCCGACAAGGCGCGCCATTCGCCCATGCCACCTGAGGCATCGGCGCACTCGCCCGCACCGACATGGGCGCCTGATTGGGAGCCGTCCATGTCGAGAACGATGGAGCTGGACGAGGCGCCGGCCCTGGACGTGCCTGAGATGGGGCCGATCCCCGAGGCAGAGGCAGAGCCCGAGGACTTGGCATGGGCGTCGAGGCGACCGGAAGACGAGACGCCATGGGACCCCGCATGGCAGCCTGGGCACGAGTTGGCGGAAGATGTACAGGCTGAGGATTGGCGAGAGGTGGAACGGCAGGATGCCGAGCGAGCCGAGCAAGCCGAGGCTGAACGAGAGGCGCAGCGACTCGAGGCCGAGCGAGCTGAGGCCGAGCGAGCTGAGGCCGAGCAAGCCGAGGCTGAACGACTTGAAGCTGAACGACTTGAGGCTGAACGGCTTGAAGCTGAACGGCTTGAAGCTGAAAGACTTGAGGCTGAACGACTTGAGGCTGAACGACTTGAGGCTGAACGACGTGAGGCTGAACGACGTGAGGCTGAACGACGTGAGGCTGAACGACGTGAGGCTGAGCGACGTGAAGCTGCACGGCTTGAAGCTGAACGGCTTGAAGCTGAACGGCTTGAAGCTGAAAGACTTGAGGCTGAACGACTTGAGGCTGAACGACGTGAGGCTGAGCGACGTGAAGCTGCACGACTTGAAACTGAAAGACGCAAGGCTGAACAGCTTAAAGTCCAGCGGCGAGAGGCCGAACAACGTGAAGCTGAACGACGCGAGGCTGAAAGACGCGAGGCTGAAAGACGTGAAACTGAACGACTTGACGCCCAGCGGCGGGAGGCTGAACGGCGGGAGGCCGAACGGCGCGAGGCTGAACGGCGGGAGGCTGAACGACGCGAGATTGAACGACGCGAGGCTGAACGGCGGGAGGCTGAACGACGCGAGATTGAACGACGCGAGGCTGAACAAGCCGAGGCCGAACGACTTGAGGCTGAAAGACTTGAGGCAGAACAAGCCGAGGCCGAACGACTCGAAGCAGAGCGTCGCGAGGCCGAGCGAGCCGACGCAGAACCATTCGAATTCGAACGACTCGAGGCCGAGAAGGCTGACGCGGAACAAAGCTCAACACAAGCACTTTTGGAGCCTGCTCGCGCCCACTCGCGCCCCAAGCCTTCTCGCCCACGCAGCCGCAGTCGACTGCCTACGCCCTCTACGTCCTACTCGGCGCATGCATGGTTCGAGCGTCCCGCGCCCACAACACGCCAATCCAACTCGGCGCCCCGGCGCCGCCCCCGTCCATCGCAGGAGCCCGTGTACATGGACTTTGAGCATGCCATGGACGAGGGCCCTGCGCTTCCCACCTCGCCATCGCCGCGCCGCACGGCCAAGGACGAGGCACTCTATGATACCAGCTGGTTCGAGCGGGCAGGCCCCTCGCACGAGACCTCTTATACCACACGCACACGCACTCCGCCGCCAGAGTCACTACCCTGGCCTCCCTCGACCTCGGCGGCAGCGCAGATCGAGCACGAGACCCCGACGGACGAGCTCGCTAGTGACGGGGCGGACGGGCAGCTGGATGCCCCCGTGCCGGCCACGGCGCCCGGTGATACGGCATGGCTCGATGCGCCGACCGAGGACGCGGCGCCTGCCGTCTCGGGACCCGCCGAGCTAGACTCAGACGATATGGTCGACGAGGCGCTGGAAGAGACGCTCGAGGGCATCGAAGCACTGGAAGACGAGCTGCGTCACATGGCGAACGACGATGTGCCTTGGCCGCGGCCAGAGGCGTCGTCCGAGGCGCGAGACACGCCGCTCCATCTTGATGAGCTTCAGATGGAAGAGGCGCCGCCCGCGCCGACGAGCCCTGCGCCCCGGGCGCGCACGCCTGTCCCCCATGCCGTATCGCTCGAAGGCGCGCGTGCGCGGCGCACGCCGTCGCCGACCAAGAGTGTCAAGGCGCAGCGTGTCCCGCTCGTGGACGTCTCGCCCGTGCGCGCTCGGGCGGCGCTGCGGCCCCACGTACGGTCCGCGCAGCCCTCGCCGGCCGTTCGACGTCCCGCTGACGCAGGCGCTCGCCGCGCTGCCTCCGTGCCGCCGGCCGCCCCCGACTCGCCGCCAAGGGCGCCGCCCCTGCCGGCGGCGCCCGCCGTCGACGAGCCGTCGCTGTCAGATCTCAGCGCCAACTTGTCCGCCTCCCTGGCCTCCCGAGCCATGATGCTCGCGCGGCCCTACCCTACGTCGTGCATTGAAGTGTCGAGTCTGAATCCCGTCGCGGCTGCGCGCGCAGCGGCCATTCTCAAAGTGCACCACCAGTACATCCAGGAAGGCTACTTGAACGACGAGCCACTCTACCCGCCGCTGCCCGGCGACGACTCGCAGACACTGCCCGCGCTCCTCGATGCAGCTGAGCAGGCTCTGCGTCCTGCGACGCACCCACTGCGCGCACAGGCTCGCGCGGGCCTCTGGACCAACGAGGCGTGGGCACAGCTCGATTTCCACTTCCGCGCGCACCTCCGAGCGACGGACACGGCCGACGTCGACGTCGACGTCGACGAGGTGATTGTGGCGTTCCTCGAAGCACTCGGCCTCGAGCCGGACGACTTGCAGGGCGCCTGGTCGCTTGCGCGCCTGTACGCACGCGTACCTGCGCTGCAGGCGCGCTACCTGCGGGAACGGGAGCTGGACGCCGCCGAGGCGATGCGCGAGCGCTCGTTCCACTGGCTCTCGCAGCGCACGAAGCGGACCTGCGATGTGGCCCTTGGCGAGGGCGACGCGCCGGGCACGGACGCAGCGGGGCCGCCGTCCAAGCGTGCGCGCCCCGCCTCGCCCCTCTGGACGCGCCTGTGGGGCTGGGTCGCAGGCCGACCCACGCCGCTCGCCGGCGCGCCGGCGCACGCGCCGTCCCCGGCGCCAGCGCCGNAGCGCCGGTCGTCGCACCCACACGGCCCCGGCCGCGCTCGCGGCTCCCCCGGCCGCGTGCCGGCCTTTCGACGCCTGGGCGCCGAGGCGCGCCGGCGTAGTTCAATTGGTCCTAGCGCTCACGTAGCCGCCGCCTTGGGGCGCATAGTCTGACGTAAGACTGCGAGGGTCACGCATGTGCGCAGCCCCCAGCGATCGTGAGCCGCTGGGGCCTTTGTTCCGCCGATGCGCGTGGGATGGCTCAGTGCCGTGCTCGGTGCAGCGCGCGTGCTCGCCGCGTCGTGCGGGCCGGGCCGCCCATGCCCTGCGGATGCGCCGTGCTGCTCGGCAGACGGCGAGTGTGGTGCAGGCGCCGCGCAGTGCACGAGTGGGTGCCAGCCGATGCTGAGCCAGACGGCGACGGCGTGCGTGTCGAATGCCGTGTGCGTGCCGATGGACGCGGACATCTCGCCCAGCGTGTACAATGACGGGACTGTATTTCGTCCGCTCCTGCAGTACAACGGCGATGTATCGGCGGCGCCGTTCGTGTTCGAGTCGGGCTACCTCGGCCAGGGCAGCGACGGCGTGCTCCTGGAGATGAATGCCGCGCACGCGTCGCGCGTCTCGACGTCCCACTACCTGCTGTATGGCAACGTCACGGCGCGCCTGCGGCTCAATGCGACGGCGGGCCTCGTCGCCTCGTTCGGCACGGCCTCGGACGTCGGCGACGCGATCGCCTTTGCGATGGGCGGAAAGAACGCATCGCGCGTAGCGACGAACCTCGCGGCGCTGGGCCGCTCGCCCTCGGCGCTCGGCGTCGATGCCAAGGTGCCCCGCTTCTCGCTCGGGAACTGGCACAACTACACGATCGCGTGGACGCCGGACCGTATCACCTGGTCGATCGACCAATCTACCGTGCGCACCGTGCGGCGCAGCGACGCCCCGTCGTACTTTCCTCGGACGCCGTCGCGCGTCGTCTTCACCCTGCGGGGCCTCACGCCCGGCTCGAGTAAGCGCGAGCGCCAGTGGGCCGGCGGCGTGCTCAACATGTCCGATGCGTCGTTCCGCGAGCGCGGCTACTACGCCCAGGAGCTCTCGCACCTCCAGGTGAAGTGCGCGGACCCTGCGCTCTCGAACGTGAGCGTGACGGGCGTGGGCAGCGACCCGATCGCCTACTACTACACGGGGCAGAACAGCTCGGCGTCAGGGGGCCCTGCGTTCCAGCTCTCGCGCGACCAGATCCGCCTGCTCCCTCGTCCCGCGGACAGCGGCAAGCCGGGCATGCCTGGCTGGCCTGGCGCCTCACCCAATGGGCCGCGGCCCAACATGTACACGGGCGGCACCGGCCGCAGCGACCGTGCGCGCGCACCTAGCCCATCCGGCTCGAACGGCGTCAAGATAGGCGTGCCGCTGGGCATCGGCCTGGCCGCTCTCGCCGGCGTACTGGCGATCCTCACGTACTACTTCGTGCGGCGGCGCCAGCGGGCCAAGCGCCGTCCGCCGTCGTTCGTGGACCCGTTGGTGCCGGCGCCCGGCACCCAGCCACCTGACACATACGAGTCGGCGTATCCTCTCGCTGCGTACACGTCTGAGCTGCCCGTCTCGATGCCCAAGGAGGACTCGCATGATCTCTCATGGTCGATGGACGGCGCCCAAGCCCATGGCGAGCCAGGCAAGCCGTTCGCCTGGCACGAGAATGGCTACGACGACCCAGACGCACACGCGGCCGAGGTGCTCAGCGAAGATGCGTCGCTCGCGTCGGAGGCCCCTGCCCATATGCACTATGCCGGCCACGACACCCCGCGCCTCTACGACGCACGGCTCACCGAGGCAGAGCACGAGCGCCTCGCCGCGCAGGACGCGTGGGGCGAGCGGCGCATCGCCACCCCCGACGACGATCCGCTGCCGTCGGACTCGTCGACCCTGGACATGCCGTTCCGGGCGCGGCGCGGCGCGCACCGCGCTGCGTACTCGGAGGGCGGCGCGCTGGGCAAGTCCCCTACCCACACACCCACCCTCTCTGTGCACGGCGCCACGGGCTGGAATCCGCGTGCGCGCTATGAGTAGCTCTCCTGTACAAATCTATGACATGGCTTCGTGCGCGCGCGGGTCGAGGCCGAGGCGCGCTGCGTACGCGCGCATTTCCTCGCGGCCTCGCAGCCGCGCATTTTCTTCGCGCAGTCGCTCGAGCTCCGTGCGCAAGAACCGGTTCTCGGCCTCGAGCACGAGACGCTCGTCGGGCGCAGCGGCGGGGGCCGGCGCCGGCGCCGGCGCCGGCGGGAGGCTGGGCGCCTCGCCCTGCTTCTTCTCGCGCTGCCGCGCCATGTAGTCGCGATTGCGGCCTCGCTTCCGGGCCATGGCCTCTTCCGCGGTATACTGCCGTGGACGCCCCCGCTTCGGCTTGGTCGGCGACGCGGCTGCCGCGTCGCGCCTCTTGGCACGCGTAGGAACGACCTCGTCCATCGCGCGCGACCACGCCGAGGCGCTGGGCGCTCCGAGCTCGTCGGCCTCGTGCGAGAGCGGCAGAAAGTCCGGGTCGTCGTCTTCGTCCTCGGGGAACGTCAGATCAGCAAAGTGCAGCGGCTCGGGCGGCGCGACGCGCGGCACAGGCGGCGGCGCGGCGGGCGGCGCGTGCGNGACGCGACGTCCCAGGGCGGTGGGCCGTCGTCCGCGCGTGGCGTGTGGCCGTCGGCGAGCCACGGGTACGGCGTGGAGCTGCCGAGGATGTGCGTCAGGATCTGGATGGCCGTGCCGTAAAAGTCCGACGAGGGCGGTGCATAGGCGCCGTGGCCGGCCGGCGCCACGGGCGGCGGCGCCTCTGCGATCGGCGCGGCCGTCGCGCCGGGCGGCGCAGGCGGCCCCCGCGGGTTGAGCAGGTCGAGCTGTGCAAGAAACGTCTGCTCGTCAAAGTCCGCGAGAAAGTCAGAGCGCAGATCCTCGTCCTCCTCCGGCAGCGCTGACGGCGACGACGAGCCGTCCTCGTCGTCCGCACGCGCTCGCGCAGACTCTCGGCGGCGCATGCGGTGGCAACAGCGTCTCGACGCGTCGCAGCGCGTCACGCGCCACGTGCTGTGGAGGCTCCTTCTCTCCGCATGGCCTCAGCCACGGCGGCCGCCGGCGCCATTGCCGTCGGCAGCGTGTGGGGCACCCTCGCGCGCCTCGGCCTCATTGGGCTCAATACGTACGATGGCCAGAGCATCAAGCCCCTGATCTGGGCGCAGGCTGTCGGCTGCGTCTTGATGGGCTGGGCCTCGCATGCACGCACGAAGCGCGCGCTCGAGGCATGGCACCCCGCGTGCGTCGTGCTCGTCACGACGGGGTTTGCAGGATCGTGCACGTCTTTCTCGTCGTGGGTCTTCCAAGTGTTCCAGGCGTTCGCGAACGACGGGCACTGGGACCGCCACGGCCTGCACAGCATCATGGACGCCCTCACACAGACCGGAGCGACCGTGGCCGGCGGCCTCGCGGGCCTATGGGCCGGCCACGCCGTGGGCGATGCGCTGCCCCTGGACCGGGTGCGCGTGCCCAAGGTGCCGCCTCGTCTCGGCGCCGCGGCGTGGGCCATCGCGGGCGTGCTCACGTGGGCCGGCGCCGCGCTCCTGTGTGGCCTGTATACATCCTACCGCGACGTGACCTTGTCCGTGGTCCTGGCGCCGGCCGGCGCGCTGGCGCGCTGGCAGCTCGCGCGCCTCAACGTGCCGCGCAGTGCGAACGACCCGCGCCCTCTGCGCGAGCGCCGCGCGTGGCCATGGGGCACCGCGCTCGCGAACCTGCTAGCCACTCTGCTTCTGTCGGCGTTTGTGACGCTGCAGCGCACGCGCGCGCACACGACGCTTACGTGCCACGCGCTGGACGCCCTGCAGAACGGCCTCGCTGGCACACTCAGCACGGTCAGCACGGTCATGCTCGAGCTCACGGCCCTGCGCCCCATGCGCACAGCCTTTGCGTACCTCTTTGTGTCGTGGGCCGTGGGCGTGCTCGTGTGCCTCTGCCTCGTCGGCGTCCCCACGTGGACGATGCACCTGCCGCCCCGCTGTCGGACCGCCGTGTAAGTGGAGGCGGCGTGCGGGCCGCACGGGCCGATCGCTCCCTCGTCATGGAGGCGGTCGTGGGGACCAGCCGGCTGGCCGCGCAGCGTGAGCCGCGCGATGCGGGCGTCGGTGCGTCGTGGTTCCACTCGCACGGGCGTATCTGGGTGCCGTTCCCCGAGGTCGATAACCTCGCGCTCGAGGAGGCCTATGGGCGGGTGCACGCGCAGCTCGCCGGGCGCCGCGCGACGCAGGGCACGTCGTCCAGCGGTGCGCCGCCTGCGCGCTCGTGGCTCAGCTCGTCGTTCTGGTCGTCGCGGACGGACGAGAACACGTCCGTGCTCCCGCCGCCGGCGCCGCCGGCGCCGCCGGACAAGCACGCGCTGCCGAGCTACCGCGCTACGGACCCCGACGAGCCTGCCGAAGAGCGCCAGTTCCGCGTCGCTGTGCTGGAGGACCGCTTGTTCGACGTGGACTTGTCGCAGATGATCGTATGTCCCACTCGCTCACGCAGATGTATCCCGCGCTGTGGGCCGGCTACGACCAGCCTGTGATCCGCGCGCACTGGTACTACGTCGCGTCGGACGGCGCGACGTCCCCGATCGGATGCGACACCCTCCTGGAGGCGGATATCCTGCAGGCCTACCACACGGCCGAGCCGTGGCGCCTCTCGCACCGCCTCAAGGGCACGCTGTCCAAGAGCCGGGGGGAGGAGGTGCCGCTGTACGACCTGCCGAGCGTCGTCGGCGGCGCCAAGATCCACTTTGAGGCGCCACACACCGCGCGTATTGTCACGCAGCACCTCGGCAGCAAACTGTTTCCGTTTTCGCGCGACGCATTCCTGGTCCGCGGCCTCGTCCATGCGCGCGAGCTGAGCGAGCGGCTGCGCTCCGGCACCGCGTGGCAGCGCCGCGCGGACTCGCCGCCGAAGCGCACGCCCACAGCGTCGCCGGCGATGCAGGCGGCCGACACGCCCCCTGCCGACGCGCCGCCACCTCCGCCACCAGCCGACGCGCCGCCGGCCGCCGGGACGATCGGCGAGCGCGTCGCGCCGTCCGACCCGAGCGTGTCGCCCACGCCCTGGGTCGCGCTGAGCGAGGCCTTCATGTCGAAGGCCTGGTCGTTCCGGCGGTCGCCCGCGCCTGCGCCGCAGGATCCAGGGGACGAGAGCACGTCGAGTGAGAGCGACGTCGAGGACCGCTACGACGACGATACATCGATGCCCTGCACGTCGAGTCGGCCGCCGGAGCTGCTGTTCTGCATCCACGGCATCGGCCAGAAGCTCTTCGAGGTACGTGCGCGCACTCACACCAGGACTATGCGACCATGCACTTTGTGCACGACATTGACCGCCTGCGCACGCTCATGCGCACGCAGATGCAGGACGCCGACCTGCGCCCGCTGCTCAACGGCGGGCGGGTGAAGCTGATCCCCATTTGCTGGCGCCGCGGCCTGCAGTTCGATCCGGACGTCGGCTACACACTCCAGGACCTCACGAACGATGCGACGATCCCGGCCGTGCGCAACATCGTGACCAAGGCGCTGCTCGATATCCCCTTCTACTTTTCGCGGCACCACGGCGCGATGAAGCAGGCGGTCCTCCACGAGATGAACCGCCTGTACCGCCTCTTTGTGCAGCGGAACCCCGAGTTTGAGCAGCTGGGCGGGCGCGTATCGATCATGGGCCACTCGCTCGGCTCGATGCTTGCCGCGGACCTGCTCAAGATGCAGCCGACGCTGGTGCCGCCCGTGCGCGAGATCGACGAGGCGCACATCCACGTCACGAGCCCCCACCTCCTGTTCAACACACGCTACCTCTTCTGCACGGGCTCGCCACTGCCGTTCCTCCTCTACATGAACGGCGCCCAGCTGCGGGCGCGCCGACGCCCGGGCAACGACGCAGACGATGCCACGTCAGACGCGGTCGGCCAGGACGGCTGCTTCGCCGTGGAGGCCATCTACAACGTGTATGCGTCGACCGACCCCGTCAGCTTCCAGATGTCCGCGACGGCCGATCCAGCCTACGCGCGCATGATGCGGCCCGTGGACCTGCCGCGCGACGCCGCGCACCTGCCCGACGCTCTCGACAAGCCGCGCCTGAACATGGGCAAGCTGCTCCAGCGCGTGATGCGCGCACGCTCCGACGACCCGACCTCGCCCGAGCTGCGCGCAACGAGCCAGCCAGGCACGCCGCTCACTCTCCCCGTGCCGCTCGAGGAGATGGAGCGCGGCGAGCGCCGCTTCCACGCGCTGAACCCCAACGGGTGCATCGACTATGCCATGGACGTCGACTCGCCCAGCTCGGTACGTGCCGCGCACTGACCCCAGTTTTCTCAGTACATCGACATGCTGCGCGCGCATATGAGCTACTGGACAAGCCGCACACTCGCCAACTTCCTCCTGCACCAGCTCCTGCTCAACCCCCACGCAGCGCCCACGCACCGCAGCCTCACCAGCATCCCCGACCTCGTCCTCGAACCCTCCACCGATAGTGTGTAGCCTCCCAGGTCCACTCCACATGCCCGCGGCATACCCTCGACGCGCACGCGCGCCGAACGATGTGCGTGCGTATGGACCGCGAGCGCCGCAGCGAGCCGCCGGGGCCGCCGCCGGGGCCGCCGCC